GGGAGAGAGGCGATGGTTGTACACCACCTCGTGTAACCCTTAAAAATAGTTAAAATGGTGAATTGTGTGTTATATGAATTTTATCCTAATAAGAAGATGAATACATAAATGTAATGTTAGACAGAGAAAGAGAATTGGGGATTTAACAGCTAATGGTGGAACTTCCCCGGTGGTCCAGTGGCTGAGACCCTGTGCTCCTGGTGCAGAGCGACAGGGGTCGGTCCCTGGTCAGGGAACGATCCCTGGTCAGGGAACAAGATTCCGAATACCGCAAAGAAGATCAAAGAGCGCGTGTGCCTCAGCTAAGACCCAGTGCAGCCAAACGAATTCATTAATTAAAAAACACAAATTTTTGCAGTGGAGTGCTGACCCTTGTGAAGAAGGGAACTTTGAAAGGCAGGTCATGTCACGTATGTGTGTGTGTGTGTGTGTGTGTGTGTGTGCTCAGTTGTGTCCGACTCTTTGCAGCCCCATGGACTGTAGCCCACCAGGCTCTACCCTCCATGGAATTCTCCAGGAAAGAATACTGGACGGAGTTGCCATTTCCTACTCCAGGGGATCTTCACCTGCTTGCTGTTTATCAAAAAGTAAATTGTTCTTCTCTGACCCACAGTGGGAACCAGAAATTCTTGCGTGATTCTTTTTGCTCCATAGTTCAAAGCATTTTCTTGTATATCATTTACTCACTTTATCTTGGTCACCCTTTCTAACGTGAAAAATCAGGCCCAGAGACTAGAGGGCCTGAGGTCAGTCCTAAGGCCTGATCTTTTCTGATGCCACATAGCAGCCCAGTATCAGAACTGTCACAAGAACCCAGAACCTCTTAGGCTAATTGCAGCTGCATCAGATGCTGAGCCTGGTGCTCAGGTCAGACAGTCACTGCTGACCCAAATGCTGCCAGGGGCCAAGAACATCATGGTTGGCAGATGCTGAGTTAGAGCAAGACCCAAGGTGAGATGGCAGCTTCGGAGCTCAGGCTGGTAGTCTGAACAGCATGCCAAGGAACAGGAAAAGGAAACAAATAGTTGTAGAGCCTTAACTCCGGGCCAGGCACTCCAGGGTCCCTAGAAGGGCACCACTCATCATCCATCCTCCATTCATTCCTCTAGTGCTTCCCCAGTGCCCACTCCATGCTGGTCAGTAGGTGCTGGGGATGTTGGTTGATGGGGACAGCATGGTCCCTTACTTCCCAGGGCTCATGATTTAGTGGGGAGACAGTCACCAGATCTGGGTTCTCACCTGACTCTGCCACAGGTTCACCTGTGCTTCAGGGAGGGGAATCAAAGAACGCCGTGGACGCACAGGCAGCTGGCCGATTATAGACATCACGTATTTCAGGGGGTCATGGAAAGGGAGGCCCCTTGTGGAGGTACACTGAGAAGATAGTGAGGACACAGAGACACTCTGTGGGGACTGTCTTTGGGTGTGGTCTTCTTCATCAGGGTGGGAGCATCTAAGAGAGTGAGCCAGGGCGCCAGCCTCAAGTGAAAGGCAACATACACACATCCTGGGATCTTACTGCCCATGCATCCAAAGCCCAGCTATCATATGTCTGATTGATTAAATAACTGAATAACTGCATCTTCTGAAGCAAAAACAGCCAGGGGTTTTGAGGTCAAGTAGATAAGATTCTAGAGGAGTTCACGAATGGCAAGGAGTAGTACCATTTCAGGGTTGTTGGAGGAGTTAAAGGATTAATACATGTATCTGCTGCAGATATAGCCAGAATATGTGGAAGCAATTATAGGGGACATGGTTATAGTAAGACAAACTCCTAATTACCCCTCAAAACCCTGTCCTGGTGCCTGCTCCCCTGTCCACCTTCCCTGAGCAATGCAGTTTCAGCTTCTTCAGCTGTATCACCCTTGCATCACTGCACGGATCACTCCATATAATTATCCATAATTATCCATTCTTTAAGCTTTGTACTCCCTGAACCCAGGGACTCTGTTATCTCTCCTCAAGCAGCATTAGCTTCCCTGAACTGAACTGGCTAAAGCCTAAAACAAAAATGGTCTGGATACATTGAAACTCACTGAAGGCTACTCCTATTTTTCATTCACTCACTCATTCAACCACTCACTCTACAAAGATCTTCTGAGCTTCTATTCATGTCTTCATTCAGTAGTTGCTCAGTCATGTCTGACTCTGCAATCCCTGGGACTGTATCTTGCCTGGCTCCTCTGCCCATGGAATTCTCCAGGCAAGAATACAGGAGTGCGTAGCCATTCCTCTTTCCAGTTTTTTCCTGTCTTAGGCATATCCAATTGATTAGAATCCTGCATTTAATTTGGAAAATGCAGGAAGGAAATGAATGGATTGTGACAGCAATGCATTAGGATGGTGAAAACAAGGGTGGGTTTTTTTCCCCTCCATTTTTGACTTTTTCCTAACATAGTTATTATTTTTCTTTTATAATGGAACAATTCATACCATATAAGAACACTGTGTTTGAGGCACTATGATAAAATGGAATTTTAAGAAAGTATAATGAAGTTAAGATATACTTTCTGTTATAAGAAAGGATTTTTTTCCCCTGTAGAAAATCACTCTACCTGCCACTCTACCCTCCCTTACTCAGAGCTGAAGTGAGAGACGTTAGCAACACCAGCATCTGACAGGTCTCTCTGTGCCAAGGGCTTTCCTTCCCTGCCAGAAACCTCAAGCTGAATGATTCAGAGATCTGTTGGGAACACTGGCAGGACCCAGAATCACCGGCCTTCTGTAACCTGGGCATTTTCCAGTGTGTTCCATATTGTCAATATTCCTTGGCTTCCTGGATTTCTGCCATGAACTGGAAAACCAAGAGGCTGGACAGAGATGAACTGGAGTGCTCCCTGCTGAGGTGTAAAAAAAAAAAATCCCCCAGAGTATGAAAGTGAGGCAACATGGTTTAGCTAAGTAAAACGTGGCTCCATGATGACTCCTTTATTGAACCCAGTACCCTGCTGATGAACCACCGCCTTGGACCTAGGACCAGGAAGAGGTGGGTTTACTGAGGATGTCCCACACAGAGTGATGTAACAGCAACATCAAGTCACTCAAAGGCCAGTCATAAATTAGCTAACTGTATACCCAGCCTGGGACACTCCCTAGGGGAAGGGAAAAAAACCTCATGCAAAAATAGCTCCCTGGATGCCACAGGTTGGGTATAAATTCCTCTTAGCTGCCGATGTAATCACAACTTTGCAGTGAGTTGAAGACTGAGACTCTCTGGCCCTAGAGAACTCAGTGTCACTGGTCTGAAACCTCTCAGCCACCCTTGGTGAGGGAATTGGACAGCTATAGCCGGTTCCAAAGCTCTCAGCGTGATCTTCCGAGTTCTCTTGTCCAGATCCTGCATAGGCATTGTGGCCAGCCACAAGGTGAGTTGTCTTCATTTCTGGGGAAGCTACTGTTTTGAGGGGATTGTTTCTTCCTGTTTGGGAAGACTCAGAAAACTGTGGGACTTTTCTGCCTATAGAGATAAACTGGTGGGAAAAAAAAATCTAAGAAATGCTAACATGAGGTTTGGCATCTTGTTCATATTTTGTCTTCTGCCAAATTTGCTGTAGTTGCTACATTTCAAGGGAAAACTTTTTGGAAAATGGGGAGTAATCTACTGAGAATTCTTTTTTACATTGGTGATACTGTCCAGTCCTTGTAACATGCAGCTTTAGGGGAAAGGTAAACTAAATATTATTAAGCCTATTTTATGGAAGAAAAAAAAATGAGTCTTTTAAATAACTTGAGCCAGGTCACACAACTAGTAAGGCTAGGATTTGAACCCAGATTAGGGGACCCCTAAGAGTCTTTTTTTTTTTTAACTTATTTATTTGGCTGCAGTGGGTCTTAGTTGCAGGATACAGGATCTAGGGACTCTCTAGTTGTGGTGCATGGCCTTAGTTGCTCCACGACATGTGGGATCTTAGTTCCCTGACCAGGGATCAAACCCACATCCCCTGCATTATAAGGTGCATTATTAACCACTGACCACCAGGGAAGTCCCAGGCTCTAAGATTCTAAGTCCCAGGTCCCAAGGGCCACATCTCACCACACTGGCTCCCAGTGATTTTTCCATGGAGGAGATATGCAGGGGTGGATGTGGGGGGTAGGAGGGTTTGGGGGGTAGGGGGGTGTGGCGGGTAGGGAGGTGTAGGGGGTGGGGCAAGCCCAGACCAGAACTGGGCCTTCACTTAGGTCTTCTTCTTTGATCCTTTTTTAAAAGAAGATGATCTCAAATGTTGAGAATTGCGTGCATTTTCCCCCACAAATAATTATCCCTGCCACCCCCCCCCCCCCAATAATAAAGGAGCAGGGATGTCCCTGGTGGTCCAGTGACTGGGACTCCATGCTCCCAACTCAGGGGATCTAAGTTCGATCCCTGGTTAGGGAACTAGATATCACATGCCAGAACTAAGAATTCACATGCCACAAAATAAAATATCCCATGTTCCAAAACTAAGACCCAGTGCAGCCAAATAAATAAATAAAATCTAAAAAAGGCACAGATGGCAGCATTGATAACAACTGCAAAATCAGAAAAGATTTAGCACAGCTTGAATGCTTTCCCCAGTGATAGGTGCTCTGCCTGCAGGACCAGGCAGATGGTATTCCAATGAGCAGCAGGTTCCTTGCCTCAGGTCAACCATGAAGCTCGCCAGGTCCCATTCAAGAGGCTCACAGGGTTTGTGCTTTGTCCTTATTGAGTTATGTGTTCTTCCTTTAGATAGTTATGTTGCTTTGTAGAATTAAATCCATAGGATCCCAACATGCAACTCCAGAAGAGGAACAGAGGTCGCAAAACCCTGATGAAGTGGCAGTTCATGACTTACGTATGTTATCCTCTGCACGGATGCCTCAGTGTGGTAAACTAACCACGCTCAGAAAGGCCCAGGTCTGTCAACTTTTTCCAAACCTCCCGTCTCCTTCCTCACGCTCTCCCTCTCCTTCCTCAGCCTGCAGAGAAGAACCTCCAAGTTTAAATCCAGACAAACGACGTGCTTTTCAAAACCGCAGAGATGGCCTGTCCCTGGCAGTTTCTGTTCAAAATCAAATCCCAAAAGGTGGACTTGACTACGGAACTGGACATCAACAACAACGTGGAAAAAGGCTACCAGCCTCTGTCCAGGTAAGCTCTCCCCTGCTGCCTGCCACCCCCTGCTGGTCTCCTCTGGTTTCCATTCCCCACTCTGCCCACTCGGAATCTCTCTCTGCTCCTGGCTGCTCACTGGAGGTCTGCTCTCGCCAGAGGCTTCTTTGATGTCCCTGTTGGGGTTTGATTTAGCCACTGCTGCACCTGACACTATGTGAAGAAGGAGGGGCCATGGCACGGTCCTGGAGAGCGCATCTGAGAAGGTGATATGCAATAACTGACTTGAGAAGGCGGGGGGTGGGGGGGGAGTAGAGGCCAGTGGTTAGAGCCAGGGAGCATCGTGGCCGACATCCCTTCTGAATTGCCAGCGCGCATGCCTCACTGGTGATTAGATATTTTGACTATCAACCTGGGGCAGGATGTTCCCAGGTGGCACTCGTGGTAAAGAACCAGCCTACCAATGCAGGAGACATAAGAGACGTGGGTTCGGTCCCTGGGTCAAGACGATCCCCTGGAGGAGGGCACGGCAACCCACTCCAGTATTCTGGAGAATCCCACAGACAGAGGAGCCTGGTGGGCTACAGTCCATGGGGTCACAAACAGCTGAACATGGACATGTTAGATAAACTATACCCAAGCCCTGTGCTGGGCCGTGCTCACTGGCTCTGAGATGTCTTTCTCCAGCTGTGTGATTTAGGGAGGATGAACCTCTCTGAGCCTCAGATGTTCTCATCTGCAGTCCAGGGAACCAATGCGACCCATTTTGTAGCATTTTGAGGATGAAATGGGAGTGGGAAAGTGAAAGTGTAAGTCGCTCAGTCGCGTCTGACTCTTTGCGACCCCATGGACTATGTAGCCTATCAAGGAGGCCCCATGAGAGTGCGTGTGTAGATCTATCAGCAGTGTGCCCATAAAGAGTAGGCGCTCAATAAACACTAGCATTTATTATAACTTACCGAGCACTTGCTTTGGGCCAGGGCCATCTAGGGCCCGTCACGGGGCTGCCACTCAACTGCCCTCCTCGGGGGCTCTGTGAAGTACAACTTATTGTCTCATTTTACAGTTAAGGCAACAGAAACTTTTTTACGCGTGGTGTGATGGCCCCCAAAGTCACGTGACTGGTAATTGCAGAGTTGGAATTTCTTCCACCCCCTTGCACCTTGTAGGAGAAGCAAGCCCGAGATAGAACCAGAGAGAATTAGGGTGCCAGTCTGCCAATCAGTGGACAGGCTTCCAATGCTAGGAGAACTCATGGCCTCGCACCCCAGGTTGAGGCTTACTTCCTGGGAAACACAATTCCACCTGTGATGACACCACTGCCCAAATCAAACCAAAGCCCCAGGCCTCACAGGGCTCCTGGGGAGCCTTCCCCCTGGACTACAGTGGGCAGGGCGCCCCCTGCAGGCAGGCAGCAGAGCAACCCAGAAAAGCAGCACCAGTTAGAGCCTGGGCTTGCAGATAAGCAGGTGTGTGTGTTACTTGCTCAGTTGTGTCCGACTCTTTGCAACTCCATGGACTGTAGGCCGCCAGGCTCCTCTGTCCATAGAATTCTCCAGGCAAGAATACTGGAGTGGGTTGCCATTTCCTTTTCCAGATAAGCAGGTGGCTTTACTACTTAATGGCAACCTTAAGCCTGTAACCTTTGGCAAGTCCCCTGGCCTTAAGCCTCCACTGCCTCATCTGTAAGAAGGAGGTAGGAATGTCTTTGTCCTGCCTGGGGTTGTCCTAGGAGATTACGTGAGTTTTCACATGTAAACAACTGAGCCGCATGCCTGGCAGAGTCTGTGCTTCATAAAGAGCATCTCTCTCAGCTGACAGCGTTGTAATTGCTGTAGTCAGTAGGACAAAGTTGAGCAACATAACAAAGTCCCCTCTAGCCACTGCACAGAAGTGGGAGGCTCGGTGTGGACGTGGAAGGGTGGGTAGAATGTAGGGATGGGAAGAGATAAAGTGAAGACATTCCAGGAAGGGGGCAGGGTGGCCAAAGACTCAGAGACTCAAGCCAGCCTGACTTTGCTGGGGCCCGGGGTGGGGGTGGGGGTGGGCTGGGATAGGAGAGGCCAGGCCGGAGCTCGGGAGCTTGAATGTAGAGCAGGGGGTTGGATTCTCCTCTGCTTGCGAACGGGAGCCATTGTGGATTCTTGGGCAAGGCCGTCCAGGTGGAGAGTGTGGGTTTAACTGGAGGCGAGAATGCTGGAGACCAGGCGGTCTAGGCCGTAGTGGCCAGCGTGGCCCAGAGACCCAGGATGAGAATGCAGGGTTGCGTTGCCTCTAGATGTCCTCCTGGCCCTCCAGACTCAGGTGCTGCAGTCTGACAGCAGTTCCATCCTCCTTCTGGGGCCTCTGAACCCCAGGGGTCTGCCTGGACTCGTCTTGGTCATTCCTGCCTTTCTTCACCTCATGACTGCAGCCCTGGCCTCCTGACCTCCCCTAACTGCCCCTACATTGGCTCTGACCTCTCTCACTCCAACTTGCCTTCTAGCAAGCCATGCTCTGGCTCTGGAGTCTTCAGTAGCTCCCCATTGCCTATCACCACATGGAGGCTTGACTGCTGGGTTCTGTCTGATCACCCTTCCTAGACCAAGGGTCCGCCACACCTGCTCAGCCAGGCCTTCCTCACTTTCTTGTACATGGCACATTCCTCCCTTGATTTATCCAGACCCAATCCATCCCCTAATCTTTGAGATCATCTTGAATCCCCCTCCTCCTCTAATCCTTACAGTGTGGCCTACAGGCTGTGGCCTTGAATTTCAGACCTTCTAATAGGACTGACTGGTGTTTTGGGACCATTCAGGAGACCTGAGCTGTAGGTTGACCTGAGGCAAACCAGCTGACTTATCGCATCTTTTTAAGCTGGGCTGGGCTGGAAAGAAGTACTCAAATCAGATATTAGAGATGATTGGGAGAAAACACCACACATTAATTCATTTAACTCTCCCAACTATCGTTGAGGAAGGAACTTGTGTTGTCCTCAAGTTGCAGCAGTGAGGACACTGAAGGCTAGAAAGTTAAAGCACTTGTTGAGATCTCACAGTTAGCAAATGACAGAGGCAGGAGTTGAACCCAGGCAGGTTGGCTGATGACCACTACACTGGCTGCCCTGCTTTTGGTTCTGGGCATGTTTCATCCATTAATGATGATTTGCTGAGAGCTACTCCTCTCACATCTTGCTGGGGAGTCACAGGGCTGTTGGTGAAGCTCTTCTGTTTATCAACTAACTTAATAATATATTGCTATATATTAAGTAAATAATATATTGCATAGCATGTCCATGTCTGACTCTTGGCGACCCCGTGACTGTAGCCCACCAGATTCCTTTGTCCATGGAATTTTCCTGGCAAGAATACTGGAGTGGGTTGTCCTTTTCCTCTCCAGGGGATCTTCCTGGCCCAGGGATCCAATCCACATCTGTTGCGTCTCCTGCATTGGCACGCAGATTCTTTACCACTAGCGCCACCCAGGAAGCCCATCAATTGCACACACAGCAGCTAAATAGAACAGATACTGTTTAGAAAGTCCTTATTACTGTGTTGTCTTCTCTGATGGCTCAGACAGTAAATAATCTGCCCACAATGAGGGAGACCTGGGTTTGATCCTTGGGTCAGGAAGATCCCCTGGAGAGGAAAATGACAACCCACTCCAGTATTCTTGCCAGGAGAATCCCACGGACAGAGGAACCTGGTGGGCTACAGCCCATGAGGTCACAAAGAGTCGGACACGACTGAGTGATTAACACTATTACTGTGACAGTAATGAGGTAGGAATTATTAATAGCCTTATATTACAAGGTTGAATGACTTACTTGAAGTCAACATCTGGAAAGGGGAAGAGCTGAGGTTTGAACCAAGTCCAAACTCATAACTTTGACACTATATGGGCTCTCCCTGAGGGCCCGCTGGGTGCTGGGCTGAGAAAGGCACAGAGGAAAGAGACCCAGTTCCCACTGGGGGGAGGGTGGGGGAAAGGATGTTTTTCTCACTGGTTTGGGGAAGAATACACAAAAACTGGAAGGTTAAGAAGCTTTATAAATTAGGGTGGGGTGGACAGGGAGGTAGACAGGGGGTTACAGGAGAATTGGGGGACGCTGGGATCTATTCTGGGAATATTGTAGGGGGCCTGGCCTGGCTGTAGTGTGGGGTGGTGGGGGGGATGGGAATGGGGAGAAGGCTTTAGAGAGGAGGCAGGCCCAGCTGGACTTCACCTACCAGTGGGGTGGGGGTTGGGAGGATGTTACTGGAAGAGGAAGCTGCAGTACAAAGGGGATTTTATCCTGAAAGCAGTGGGAGCCAATTAATATGTTTTGATTTGGAAAAGAAATTTTAAAGTCCATTCAGGTGTAATAAGACCCAGGACTTTGTATGTGAATAATGGTTCTGTATTTTATGAAAACAAATGATTAGGAAGTGAACATGGGGCGTTCGTGGGCCTGTGTTTTAGAGACAAAGGCAAATGTTGAGAACATCTAGGTGAAGTTGAATGGGATTTGGGACAAAATCAAGGCAGGTTGCAGTTGGCTCAGAATAAATATGTAACCTCTTTCCATGTTAATTTGGGTTTCGGATTAAACTCACTGGAGGATGGGTAGGAAGGCTCCCCATACTCTGGGGTCAAGGGCTGCTGCCCTGTCTCTGTCTGGACCCTAGGAGTTAGCCTGTTCCTGGTATAAGGAGCAGCATACAGAGGGAGCAAGGTCAGTGGCCCCGTTGTGCCTTCCAGGTAATAAGGACCAGGAGCTTGGAAGGGACCTGAGGAAACCCCTGGCCAACCACACTGACTCCCCCTAAAGGTCACCCCCAGGTCTGCACTTCTTTAGGGCTTCTTTCCTGGAATCGAAATGAACATGCAGGAAAGAAATAGTATTTCCTGGGCCAGCTCTGAAAGTTGGGAGAACTTCAGCTGTGGCCCTGGGGCTGCTGTGAGGCCTTGGGCAAGATCCTTCACTTCTCTGGGCCCTGCGCTTCCTATCAAGTGAGGATAACAATATAGAATTGCCTTCTTGAGTGGAGTTAGTAAGGGGTAGATGAAATAATGGACAGGAAAGTTTGCTTTGTAAACTATGACGCACCGTACAATGGGAGTTATTATGATGGTCATTACTGTTCCTTCATGGGGAATAACAAACCCAAGGCCGGAGTCTCAGCCCAGAGACAGTCCGGTGGCATCCACAAGGCACACCTTCTCGCGGACGGCCGCTGCAGCGGAGGCGCAGGGCGAGGGGCGCCCGGCCCGGACCAGGCGGCCGCCGGCCGAGGGGACACTCTGGCCGGGATCCAGGCTCGGGATGAAACCGAGTCGAGGTTGCTTCTCCGGCTCGCTCCGCCCCGGGGCGGGGGCTGCTGGATCCGGCGGCGATAAAGGGGCCAACGCGGCGGGGCGCGGGGCGCCCTCCGAGCTGCGCCCACCGCCGGGCCATGCGCGAGGGGCTGGGCGTCGCGTGCGAGGCCGCCCGGCCCCGGCTCTGCCGGCTCCTCCGCAGGATCCTCCGGCCGCAGCCCACCTGCCGCCCGCGCCGAGCCAGGTACTGCGCGCGCCGGGGTCCACCCTGGGGGGGAGGCGAACCCCGGTGCGCACTGAGCCTCTCTGAGCCTCGGCTTTCCGGGGAAAATAGGAGGGTTGGGATATTCGCTCTGTAGGATTCCGATGGGGATTTACTTTAAAGTTTTTCCTGGTGTAGAACGCATAAGGGATTGCAACTGAGTAGCCACAAAGACCCAGAGAAACCCCACATGCACCCCTGAGAGGTCTCTGTGCGGGCTGTGTGCACTTGGGAGCTTTCTAGATTTTTCAACACCGGGGCTGCAAGACCTGTTAGGATAGATAGGTTTAGAGAGCAAGGAGGTTCTTGTTTTACAAGTAAGATCCATTTCCCAGAACGCCTCCTGGCCCCCCAGCGCGCGTTTATAGAGATGGGCGCCTGGCGCAGGTGGGACCACAAGGGAATCAGCACCGGGAGAAGCCGCCGAGTGCGGCTCTGACCTCAGCGTCCTGTCACTTGAGCACTTGTGGACTGTGCTGGGTCTGAACAAGAGCCGCGCTTCAGCTTTCTTTCTGATGCCAGATCCTTAGGGTCCTCTGCTCCTCTGAAGGATCAAGCAGGACCCAGCACAGCTGTGGGTTTAGCCAAATTGCTGTGTCTGGATGGGCACCGCAATAATTTGGCGATAAGTATCCAGAACCAAAGAGTCAGACACGACCTAGCGACTGAGAACGCCTGCATTCCAGAACCTTGATATGTTCACCCAGCTTCTGGGTGAACCCTTATCTTCCAGCAACTAACCCAAAGAAATCCGCTTACTAGGGGAGAAAGGAGACTGTGCATAGCTTCATATATTCATGTTTCAAGTTAAAAAGAAATTTCCCAATTACAGAAGGAATTCACAGTCACTGAAGAAAGTTGGAAAAAACAGACGAGGATAAAGAAAAATTCAAATCATCTGTGATCTTATCAGTGCTAATCACTGTTAATATTTACTAGCATTCCCCCCTCCAGGTGTTTTTCTATGCCTTTGTACACACACACACACTCACATACACACAGAGCCAGCATCAGGTCATGTATAGCGGTTGAGGCATTATTTATAATGGTGAAGAAATTGGATGCTTCCTAAAATCCAGCCATAGATGCTGGTGTCAGACTCACTATAGTCCATTGGTAGAGTGGATTTTTAGGTGATGTGTGTGTGAGTGTGTATTAGTTGCTGTCATGTCCGACTCTTTGCAACCCCACGGACTGTAGCCTGCCAGGCTCCTCTGTCCATGGGATTCTCTAGGCAAGAATACTAGAGTGGGTAGCTGTGCCCTTCTCCAGAGGATCTTCCCGACCCAGGAATTGAACCTGGGTGTCCTGCATTGCTGGTGGATTCCTTACCATCTGAGTCACCAGGGAAGCCCCACCATTTTAAATCGGGGGGCAATGGTTTTGCTAAGTGAACAGGGACATAGTTTCTCAGTCTAAAAGTTACTGTAGCCCAGTAAGCATCGCAGATTCTCCAGTTCTATCAGTTCAGTTCAGTCATTCAGTTGTGTCCGACTCTTTACAACCCCATGGACTGCAGCACGCCAGGCTTCCCTGTCCATCACCAACTCCCAGAGCTTGGTCAAACTCATGTCCATTGAGTCAGTAACGGAGAGGAAACAAGAGTGAAACGGTGGAACAGGGTGAGGGGTGATGGTGAAAGCATGAGAAGAGCAGTAAGGCATTGCCTCCCTGAGGACCCCAGCCTCAAAACATCTTCCCGTGTAAGCAGCCCCATGATGACTACTCAGTCATGGCTTACCTGTCCTGAGTGTCCAGATTACCCTGTATTGGCTTTTTTTCTGGCGGGGCACACCAGATCAGATCAGTGGGGTGACGATAGCCAATCACAGGGAAGGCATGGTATAGGCCCCCTGAATCACTTGAATCAGAATGAAGATGCTTTCTGATACATACTCATGTTCTCTTAAAGGGACACTATCTCTTTATAGTTATAAATCATACAATGCAACCATATACTATATGTAGTTAATTACATAATGCTAATGTAAACAGTTGTCCCTGGTGGCTCAGATGGTTAAGAATCTGCCTGCAACGTGGGAGACCTGGGTTTGATCCCTGGGTTGGGAAGATCCCCTGGAGGAGGGCATGGCAGTCCACTCTAGTATTCTTGCCTGGAGAATCCCTATGGACAGAGGAGCCTGGTGGGCTACAGTCCATGGGGTCGCAAAGAGTCCAACACAACTGATTAACTGAGCATAGCACAGCTCGATGTAAACGTCATTACTTTTTCTAATAAAGCAGCATACACTCATTTGTCATTTTCCAACATCACAAATGTGTATAAGGTGGAAAATGAGCTAGCTTTTTCTTCTTCAAATGATAGGTTAAATTCTTCTTCTTTTTAAAATATTTATTTGGCTGCACTGGGTCTTAGTTGCAGCATGTGGGATCTAGTTCCCTGACCAGAGGATCAAACCTGGGCCCTTTGCATTGGAAGCTCAGAGTCCCAGCCACTGGATCACCAGGGAAGTCCCAAGTTAAATGCTTTTAAATCTGTTGTTTTCAAACAAATATAACCAATATACTTTTAAGTGTCCTTATCTTCCAGAAATACTGAGATATTTATGGGTGGCATGATGTCTCAGACTTGCTTTAAAATGAGAGCGGGGTCCGGGAGAGTAATGCTGAAACAGAATTGGCTGTGGGTTGATAATTGTTTAATTGGGCTGAATCTGGGTGACAGGCTTACAGGGGTTTATTACACTCTTCTCTCTAATTGTGTCTGTTTAACATTTTCCATAATAAAATTTTAGAATAAATAAATAAACCAGGATGAACCAAGTGCTTTAAAGAAAAAAGCTTAAGTCCCAAAGAGGGAGTGGGTGGGGTGGTGGGCAATACTGCTGGCCCGGGAGGGCAGGGTTGAAGGAGCTGTTCTCTGCCAGCTCCGCTCTGTACCTTGTTTGTACTTGGCTTCTGAGGGAGTCATCTTCACAGAGCTTCTGTGGGTCACCCTTTGGCCTGTTAGCTTTGGCTCAGCTCCCCTCTTGATTCTTTGGCTTTGTTGGGGGGCCAGGTGAGGGGGAGAAGAGGAAGCTGTGTGGTGATGGTGCAGAGGCTGCCTCCTCCACCACGTTGGCTGGAAACCATGACATTCACTCCCACCTTCCAGACCTCACTCCCCGCTTCGTCAAATGAGGGCCGGCCGAGGCGACCCTGAGTTCCCTCTCTGCCCTCGGACACTCCATCTCATGAGAGCTGTTTCCTCTTGCAGTCCAGTGACACAGGATGACCCCAAACGTCACAGCCCGGGCAAGCACGTGAATGAGTCTCCCCAGCCCCTCACGGGGACGGTAAAGGTCAGTGAGTCACTCGGGTGAGGGAAGCCCCTTCCTCCCTCGCCCAGACAGGTGCGGGCTGGGCAGCCTGGTGGACGCTGGGGTCTGGGCAGTGAGTAGAGACCCGGGAACACAGGTGGGGGCAAAGAAGAGCTTTGGGAGAGAGGGGGTGAACCACGGTGATCAGGAGTGGTGGCCCCCCAGGGGGCTGGGCATCTGGGTGATGGGCTGCTGTGTGGGCTGACAGACCTGGGAGGGAGCAGACCACTGGTGGAGTCAGTGAGACCCTCAGAAGTGATCCCAGACTTGGCGGCTGAGCCTCCAACCCCAGCCCCAGCCTCTGGTCCACCGGTTCCGTCTTCCCTACGTGCTTTGGCCCTTAGTGTTCCACAGAGGTGGGCAGAGGACTGGTTTACATATTCTTCAGTGCCTGCCTGAAGGCCGTGATCCCTTCTTCCTTGTCCCGTTTTTCTATTCTCAGGATTAGCGGCTGTGATGGTAATCTGTGCCGTGTAGGCCTCTTAATCCCTCCTGTTGCAGTTCCCCTGAGAGAGCATTTGGCAGGCGCTTGGATGAGGACAGGAGCCTGGCCAGTGGCCCAGGCACCTGGAGCTCCCAGCAGACTCTGGCCCAGGTGGCCTGGCTACCGGAAAGGGAGGAGGGCCGTGGGCTGACAGCTCGACCCGTGTCCCCGCCTACAGCTCCCCACCCACCCGAAGCCCGAGCAGGGCCTCAGGGCGGGAGAGACCCCTGCGGTCCTGGGGTCTGAGGCACTTGGAAACTCCTGTTTTTTTTCCCTCCGTCTTAGACGTCTCCAGAGTCCCTGGGTAAGCTGGACACACCCCCATCAGCCTGTCCACGGCATGTGAGGGTCAAAAACTGGGGCAGCGGAGTGACTTTCCAAGACACGCTTCACCAGAAGGCCAAAGGGGTGAGCAGTCTGAGGAACTACTTTCCTTTTTCTTTTCTTTTGGCTTCCTTGGGTCTTAGTTGAGGTATGTGATACCTTTGTTATGTCATGCGGTCTTCAGTGTGGGCTCAGTAGTTGTGGCACGCAGGCTTAGTTGCCCTGTAACATGTGGGATCTTAGTTCCCCTAACAGGGATTGAACCTGCATCCCCTGCATTGCAAGGCAGATTCTTAACCACTGGACCACCAGGGAAGTCCCTCAAGAACCCCTTTTGTCCCAAACTGGCAAAGCCATCAAGGCTGTTAATGAATCAAACAGATGTCCCCCTCAGCAAAACAGACAGCCATCTGCTTCAGCAAAGGGTACTGGGAACAGAGACTCTTGTTTCTCATGAATCACAGTAGGACTAAATGATGCTAATTCTCTGTTAGCTTCATACCACTCTCCCACCCACCCTCCCTCCCCCTACCCCAGGGATGATGGATAATCCAGAAGGTGAGATAAAGAATTATAGGAACAAATGAATTCTTTCTCAGAGAGACAGATTTCATCATTATATCAGGGAGAATTTTCTAACAGAATTGCCCAAAGCTGGACTGAACTACATCATAAGGTAGTGAGCTCCCTGTCACAAAAAAGGATTCAAGTGCTATTTGATAGGGAGATTGGAGAGGGGTTCCAAGAATCCAGTGAGTAGTTGGACTAAGTGCCCTTTAAGGCTTCTTACCTTCTAGGTTTCTTATGCATTCTGTGATTGTAAAGTAGGAAAGGATTGAAAATTTCAAGGCCACAAAAGCAGAATCATTTCCCACACCTTCCAGAAATGACCCCTGTTCACCTATGGGTGTACTTTCTTTCAGTATTTTTTCTGTGCCATCCCCTACTTTGGGATTTGCACCTTCTCAGTTCATTTTGGCTGAACAGCAATAGTTTGTCCCCAGGAGTTGTATCAGCTTCTTTAAATGAGAAGATAGTCAAGATGTTCCCAGCATTCGAACTGTTGACTTTGCTCTGGGTCTGGGGCTGGCTGGGGCTCAGTTGTAAAGAATCTGCCTGCCAATGCAGGAGACTCAGGAGCCTCGGGTTCGATCCCTGGCTCAGAAGACCCTCCTGGAGAAGGAGATGGCAGCCCACTCCAGTATTCTTGCCTGGAAAATTCCATGGACAGAGGATCCTGGAGAGTTCCAGTCTCTGGGGTTGCAAAAGAGTCAGACACAATTGAGTGACTAAAGAACAACTGGGGCTGGCTGGGAGGCAGCCCCAGCCCACAGTCCGTGGTATACAGCCAGTCAGAGGAGAGGAGATGTGGATGGGGGGAAAGCCTGGTCGACCCCAAGAAGGAGGTGCCACAGAGGTAGAGAGGGGTGGCGGGGAGCTGGAACAGCCAGAGTAGAAGGAGGTGGCCAGGAGAGTTGGCCCTGGAAGAGGATGGCCATCAATGCCTGTGCCGAGGAACCAAGCGGTCAGCCTCACTGCCTCTTCTTTCTTTCTAGGATCTCTCTTGCAAGTCCAAGTCTTGCCTAGCATCCATCATGAACCCCAAAAGTTTGACCATAGGACCCCGGGACAAGCCAACCCCCCCAGATGAGCTTCTACCTCAAGCTATCGAATTTGTCAACCAGTATTACGGCTCCTTCAAAGAGTAAGACTCGCTTCCTTCAGCATCACTCTCTCTCCCTCCCCTGAACTCTCTAGTCTCCTGCCATCTCCCTCTGACCCCAAACCTCTTTCCTTCCCAGATTTGCAGTGAATCCAAGGCTAAGACACAGCTTTTCAGGGAAAAGACCTTGGATAGGTTCTCAAAACCATAAGAGAAAGGAGCATGGCGGTAGTGGTTGAAAATGTGGGTCAGGTGTCTAAACGTTCGAGTTTGGATTCTGCTCAACCAGTAGTTGGTTCTGTGTTTTTGGGAAATCTGTTTCCCAAATAGATCCTCTCTGCATCTCCACTTCCTCATAGGTCCAAAGCAGGGTCATGATAAAACTGTTCCTAAGATTGTTTCGAGGATTAAATAAGTTTGAAACAGCATCCTGGTGCAAAGCAATGAGTCGATATGCAAAACCTTTTATTATGAAATGTTTGAGATAGAAGGGACCTCAGAGACCACCGAGCCAAGCCCTCCACCTCCAGGTGTGAGCCAGGAAGCCCTGTAGCAGCTAGAGTTCAGTCCCAGCTGGAATTCAGGCTACTTGACTTGGAGAGAGCTCTTTGCACTGTTCTCTGTGGGGATCTGTATCTCTGAGTTGCATAAAATATATGGCTCTTAATTTAAGTCCATTTATATCTTTAAAATAAAATTGCGCAAAGGGATTGCAAGATAGAAAGGCCGAGGGAATGGATTTGCTGTTTTATGGACTGGGAGGGGAGTGTGGCTTTTATGATGCAGCCCCACAAGGCACTTTACTGCAGGAAGCGAGCCACAGAAGTACCCTGGGACCCACTGCGGCAGAAAGATTGGCTCCTGGTGACGCCACACCCCTTGGCTCTGACCTGCAGTGTGTGAGCTGGAAGGGACCTTGAGTCTATGAAGGAGGTCCTTATCTTCTGGGGCCAGTGATCCTGCAGCCTGGTTGCACAGTAGTTGCTGTTACGGACCTTGTAAAATACTGATGCCAGGGTCCCCTGGGCAAGAGGCATCAGCTTGTCAGGAAGTGGGGAGGGGGCGGACATCCTTGTTCTCTAAAAGCTCCGGAGGCAATTTTAAGTAGACTGAAAACTCCGTCAGGGGTTTGCCCCCGCCTGTATTGTGTAAATAAAACCTCTGCAGAAATGCTCTGTTACTGGGAGGCCCAAGGTCCTTAGGTTTTCCGCTTGGTTGTTGACTAAGAAGACTTTTAGGGTCCAGGAATTTTCTTTTCTTTAAGATTTATTTATTTTACTTTTGGCTGTGCTGGATCTTCGTTGCTGCGCATGGGCTTTTTCTAGTTGAGGTGAATGGGGGCTACTCTTCATTGGGGTGCGTGGGCTTCTCACTTTCGCGGCGCACAGGCTCTAGGCGCTCAGACTGCAGTAGTTGTGGCGTGGGGGCTCAGTAGTTGTGGCACATGAGCTTTGTTACCCTGCAGCATGTGGGATCTTTCCAGACCAGGGCGCAAACCTGTGTCCCCCACATTGGCAGGTGGATTCTTAACCAGTAGACCACCAAGGAAGCCCCCAGGAATTTTCTCAATGGGCTTCACTGGGCCACTGTTTTGATGTGCTAGGTATATTCTGGACTCTGCCTTGTACGTAAGGCTCACCACAGCTCTATGGGACTGGTACCGTTATTACCTTACCTGATCTACAGACAAGGAAGCCAGAGCCCATGGAGGAGATATAACTTGCTCAAAGTCACATGCTCTGAAGTCCCAGAGCTGGGATGCGAACTCAGGCATTTCAAGCCAGAGCCCTTGCTTCAGAACTCAATGATCTAGCGTCCAGCTCTTCGATTTTGAAGGCTCTGACTTCATGCTGGACCTAAGGGGTTCCTGCTCGTGTTTGGAAGGCAGTTTGGGGGTGGTTAGCTGGGGAAGCTGCAGGGCTGCTGCTGATAGCTTCTCAGACCCATTTGCTTTTCACAGAGGGAAGAAGTTTTCACAGTCACAAGTCCGTGTCTTGGTTTCCCCCAAGCGGTCTCAGGGGTGTGAGTGACAGATGGCAGCCCATTCTCACACCTGGGCCAGTTCAGTCTTTTGTAGGTGAAGCATTGTATAGTCAGAAATGATAACTTTCTGAATATTCTGTCCAAGGCCAGTTTACCGATGCCAAAAGCCACTCCCTTTTTTTCAGAACTATTAGGCATCATAACATTTTAGTGCCTCAGAAATGTGACTATTTGAAAACAACAGTATAATGTAAAACTCCAAAAGAATTGAGTAAAAATGTAATCTTTTCTTAAAAAGTCACATATTAACACTACTAAGTATGTTGGCAGCATCATTGTTGTGGTAGTCGCTACTATCTTCATGCTTGGATGCAGAATGAAAAATATTGCTAGAAGCTTTGCCGGTTGTGGGGGGAGGGCTGCCATTGGTGGGGCAGCCTCAATCTCACCCAGCAGTTCCTTATGCGAGGAGTGTCCTCGAAGATAAATATCGCCAAGTGTTTTGTCTTTGAGTTTTTTTCTTTAATCAAGGAAGAGTTGTCGAGACACTCTTCATCCACTGAAAGGCCATTTTGTCCTGAGTTGTCCACTCTCCTTAATCAAGAATTCATTCCTTAAATAGTTTTGTTTGTTGCACTTTCAGACGTCTTTGGTGCTGCTTGGAAATCTCAAGGTTGCTCTGTGTGCGTGTGTTTCAAAACCTTCCTGGCTGTGGGATGTTTTTACAAGCCTGGGAGGGCAGGGCAGGAGCCAGTTTGGCAGTCTCACATGGGAGAGCTGGCCGAGTGACACCAGGTTTGAGAAAGCTTGCTGTGGAGACCCTGCGATGTTGGACTACTCTGTCGAGGACACCTCCCTGAACCACCCTGGGGCCCTGAAGGCTGAGTCCTGAGAGCCAGTCCCTGTCTGGACCTGACCAGGAAAGTGTGGGCAGGCCCTCCACATCTCTGGGCTTGCGAACCACCCCCAGGGTGGAATGTAGAAGGTTAAGAGCCTGGGCTTGGCATTGGGGCAACCCGAGTCTGAATCTTGGGCTTGCTTTTTATCACACTTCTGTTTCCAGGCCAGTACTTAACCTTCCAGATACACCGACTACAAGGACACAAAAACGCCTCTGTCACAGACTCAGTGGGACCCTGACTATGCGTGGCGTTGCCCAGGACCTGGCTCATTAGTGACTGTGCAGAGGAGCGCTGGGGGAGGACCTGACTCATCTCTTAACCAAGAGAAGGTGGATGGGTGCTCCCCTGGTCAAGAGGCAGGATGTGGCTGCAGCCTGATGGATGCTGGTCTGGGTCTTGCAAGACCATTGAAAAGCATTGCACTCCTCGCTGAGACGTGTGTGGCTAGAGAAGAGGCGCCTTGAAACAAGAAGGGTGCCGGTGGGATCAGGACCAGCTATGTAACTTGCAAGACCCAGTGTGAAAATAAAAAGATGGCTTCCTGTTCATGAATGATTGAGAATTCAAGACAGTCAGAGCAGAGCATTAAGCCCTGTGGGGGGCCCTGCCGAGCTCGGTGCCCTGGACGCATGCCCATGAAGCTGCCCTGGAAGGGACGGTCTCCATAAGCGACATCTTGCCCTCCTGGTGTCCTCGTTCAGTTCCTGCTTCTGTGGATTCAATCAGTCTCCATTTAAAGCCATCTCATTGTTGATCTTCCTGATGTCTTCCTGTCCCGCAGGGCAAAAATAGAGGAACATCTGGCCAGGGTGGAAGCGGTAACAAAGGAGATAGAAACAACAGGAACCTACCAGCTGACGGGAGATGAGCTCATCTTCGCCACCAAGCAGGCCTGGCGCAATGCCCCCCGCTGCATCGGGAGGATCCAGTGGTCAAACCTGCAGGTTGATGCCTTTAGACGGAGGAGGGAGGAGCGGGAGAGGAAGCTGGGGGGTGGGCAGGCGGGCCCTGAGCTGTGTGCAGGGTCCTCACCTTCTCTCTCTCCATCCCTGCACTTGAGATGGGGGCTCACAGACACCCACCCCCACCCCCCAGAGTCTAGACTCCAATCTCTGCACCAGGATTTCTAGCCCATCTTTCTCCCTTGTGTTAAATCTGAGAGACTAAATGCCAGCATGAAACCAATGACCTTGCCATTATTGCTGTGGACCTGGTTGTTTACCTTGATTGAATTCTTGCTTTTAGAAAACATTTTCTTTATCCTAGCCTCCTAGGTCATCTTTACATTTATTGCTGGGTAACTGTGGGCTTCCCAGGTGCCTCAGCGGTAAAGAATCTCCCTGCCAATGCAGGAGACGCAGGTTCGATCCCTGGGTCGGGAAGATCCCTGGAAGAGGAAATGGCAACCCACTCTAGTATTCTTGCCTGGGAAATCCCATGGACAGAGGAGCCTGGTGGTCTACAGTCCATGGGGTCACAAAAGAGTCGGGCACGACTTAGCGACTAAACAACAACAACAATAGTGAAAGTACTTGGACAGATAAATAGATGAGACATGCCAATGGAATGGGCTGTGGCTATAATGAAATGTGCTGGAGGCCATGTGTGAAATGTGTAGAGCAACTAAGCTGTGGGAATCCTGGTTCATGGTGCTTGAGAATCTGGTTTTCTTGAGTTAGGTTTAGATAGGGTCTTTCAAGTGGGGGGTGTGGGGGGGCACCTGGGCTCCCCTAGGAAAGCAGAAGAAGGAAGAAGGGGCGGGGGGCGGGTGCATGTCTCTGCAGGATGTTCAGGTGGTGGGGCTTTGGGCCACTTTTTCAGTCCCTCACGAGTTAGCTTCTGATCAGCCCCGCTGAGGCCTCTGTCCTCCTGGTCCTTGACGGGCATGGTCTGGGTGGGCTGTGCGCAGGTCTTCGATGCCCGGAGCTGTTCCACGGCCCAGGAAATGTTCGAACACCTCTGCAGACACGTGCGTTATGCCACCAACAATGGCAACATCAGGTGCGTGTGCCTTTCCCGAGGCTACGGCTGGGGCCCCGCACAGCCCCCTGAGGCTTAGCCGAGAGATGCAGGCAGGTTTAAGCTCCTGGAGAGGCCAGAGAGAAAGAAAGTAGGAAGACCTCGGCTTCTTCAAGGAGTCTTCACAGTGAGCCCGTCTCTGTGAGCTTAGTGCATGTCAGTGGCCCATTTCCTTGGTTTCTTTTTGACTTGGAGCCACTTGGAGGAGACAGGGGGCATCTTTAAGAGGGTAACTTCACACTTCAAGGTTAGGGTCCCCACTTTGTAGAGGGGATGAGAAGTTGGTTTTGCAGCCGACGGGTCCAGTGTGGTGTGGGGTGTGGGGGTGGGGGACTCGCTGCTCATCCGTACCCACCCCTGCCTTACCGTCTCCCCCCTCCCCCACCCCCGCCCAAACAAGGAGGCCAAGGCCAACTCATTCGGTCATTCATTCATTTTTCTATTTGGCAAACACTCAGTGTCTGCCGGATGGGGACCCAACCCAGGACTAGGCTTGGGGGTGAGAAGTGAGTAGGACCCTAAGACGAGGCTCCAGCCCGCTATGAACCTACACCTCGCACTAGACAAGCACCCAGCTAACTCAATGCCTAAAAGAGAGATACGGTCCATCTGCAGAAAGGGCTGGGACAGCCTGAAGGGTGGGAAGGGCTCCCTGGAGGGGTGGTGGTGGTCCCTGCGCTGATCTGGAAGGAAGGGCAGGAGCTGGAGGGACAAGGAAGGAGAAGATATGTCAGGAAGTGGACAGGCTACACAGAGGCTGGCGAGAGCTTGGCATGTCTCAGGGCTGCAGGGGTTTGGTTCAATTAGCTTGGGTGTAGAGCACTGGGGAGTGGGAAGATGGGAGGGGAGGGGGACCTGTTAGGGGGGTGGTGGCTGGAAGCCCCCACCGAAGCCGGGTGGCAAACAGTACCATCCTCGTCTTGGGAAAGGTCGGCCATCACCGTGTTCCCCCAGCGGAGCGATGGGAAGCACGACTTCCGGGTCTGGAACGCCCAGCTCATCCGCTATGCCGGCTACCAGATGCCGGATGGCAGCATCAGAGGGGACCCCGCCAACGTGGAGTTCACACAGGTATCGGACCCAGCTTTGGCGGGTGAGAGCAGAGCCCAGAGGGGCCCGGGGACCTGGATCTCCAGGCTCACTGGGCGTGTCTTGCCCCCAGCTGTGCATCGACCTCGGCTGGAAGCCCAAGTACAGCCGCTTCGACGTGTTGCCTCTAGTTCTGCAGGCTGACGGCCGCGACCCAGAGCTCTTCGAAATCCCCCCTGACCTTGTACTCGAGGTGCCCATGGAACATCCCAGGTAAGCAGGCTGTGGGTGCTGGCAGTGTGCGTTCACACGCATGCCCCCTCCTTTCTGAAGAGAGATCCAGTCCTCAGGACCCTCCCTGCTCCTCCCCCAAAGCCCAGCCAGCAGCAGCTTGATGCCCAGAAGGGCTGGCTTTCCAAGTCCACCACTTCACCCTGTTCAGCAGCTTTGTCGGGCCTCAGACCTATGAGAAGATGCTGCTGGGGACAGGAAAGCAATGGCTTAGGGAGAGCAATGGGCCCTGGGAGCTTGGCAAGTGGTGACCCCAGGAGGGGAAGCCTTGAAAGGCCCTGAGATTCTCACACTGGACAGCCAGGCCTCTTTGACCTTCCTGCCAACTCTCTTAGCCATTCATCTCCTGACTGTGGTGACAGGATAGGGTGCCAGTACTTCAAGAGCTCATCAGGTTCAGCCCCTGCTCCAGGGCTGAATTACAAAAATACCTCATAATTACAAAATTACAAAAGTACCTCCATACATTGACACTCGCTATGTAGCAGGCCTTAGGCTGGGCTATTATTTTTATTCTCTGAATATACTGAACTTAGTCCTACCTCAGGGCCTTTGCACTTGCTGTTCTCTCTGCCTGACAGGCCCTTTCTTCAGAATTTTGCAGAGTTCATTTCTTGTTAACTAGGTATTTCCATTACCCATTCTGAGAAGCCTCTTCTGAACACCCAGTCTAGAGTAGGAACCCTTACCCTTCACCGAACATATCACTTTGTGCTTCTTTTTTTTTTTTAATATTGATTTATTTGCATGCGTTGGGTCTAAGTTGTGGTGTACAGACTCTGTGTGTGCGTGCTAAGTCGCTTCAGTCATGTCTGGCTCTTTGTGACCCTATGGATGGGAGCCTGACAGTCCATGGGATTCTCCAGGCAGGAATACTGGAGTGGGTTGCCATTTCCTCCTTCAGGGGTCTTCCCAACCCAAGGACCAAACCCACATCTCTTATGTCTTGTGCATTGGCAGACAGGTTCTTTACTATTAGCGTCACTTGGGAAGCATAGCGAACTCTCTCTGGTTGTGGCCCTTGGGCTCAGCAGCTCCTTAGCACATGGGACCATAGTTATCTTAGTTCCCCGACCAGGGATCCAAACCGAGTCCCCTACATTGCAAGACAGATTCTTAACCAGTGGACCACAGGGAAGTCCCATCACCTTGTCTTTATCTTCTTATTTATTTATTTGTTTACCTATTTATAATCTGTAAGTTCTTTGAGAATTAAAGATCTTGTCTTTCTTGTTCAGCAATATATCCCCAACTCCTAGCAAGATGCCTGGCTCATAGTAGGTACTCAGATATAAATATTTCTGGAGTGAATGAATATACAAGTAAAGGGTACTGTTATCTTCACAGTAACCCCATGATTTATCTCTACTTTGCTGGTGGGGATGCTGAGGCTCAGACAGGCTGAATAATATCTGAAGGTCACACAGCTGGTAATCAGTCAGCCAGAACTTGAACCTAGGTTTTCTGACACTGGGATCCTTAATTGCTATGTTCTGTTGAGTCCTCAGCATTTAGCCCAGAGCCTGCCACTTACTTGATGCTTAATATGATTGCTTGAAAAATCTCATGAATGAATGCATAATTAGCCAATGACACATGTTATGTCCAATTCACCTCTCCAGGTGGGATGAACTTAGAGATCAGCACTTGAAAAGGCGTTTTCTTGGTTGACTTTTTCTGAGGCTTTTATTAGGGGGTGAGCGTGGGCCACAGTGAAGGCGCCATTGCCACCAGCTCTGCCTCCCTGCCAGGTACGAATGGTTCCGGGAGCTGGAGCTCAAGTGGTACGCCCTGCCAGCCGTGGCCAACATGCTGCTCGAGGTGGGCGGCCTCGAGTTCCCAGGATGCCCCTTCAACGGGTGGTACATGGGCACGGAGATTGGAGTCCGGGACTTCTGTGACGTCCAGCGATACAACATCCTGGAGGTAATGAGGGCCATCCAGCTGGGCCGGCTGGAGGTGTGGGCCTGCGGGTGGAGCCCCAGGGACTGACTCACCCCCATTTCTCTGCCTCTACAGGAAGTGGGCAGAAGGATGGGCCTGGAAACGCACAAACTGGCCTCACTCTGGAAGGACCGGGCTGTCGTTGAGATCAACGTTGCTGTGCTCCACAGTTTCCAGGCATGTCCACTCTCTGTGGGCCTGAAGGCACTCTGGTTAGAAGGTTATCTGGTCCAGCCGCTCATGTCATTCTTGATTTTCCCCTTACAGCTTTGCTCATTTATTTGTGCACCTAACAGTGTTGAATACCCAGTTTATGTCAGGTGCTGGGGGATACAGAGACAAGCCCTCTCAGGTCTTCTAGTGTAAATTTGAATGCTTCTAGCAACAGGCAACTCCTTACCTCTCAAGACTGATCAATCCTGGCGTTTGAGCACTGAATCCTGTCCTTTCGCAGTTTTCAAGGACTTTTTTTTTTTTTTAATTTATTTATTTATTTTTATTTTTTTTTATCACAACCATAGTGTATCTTTTTTTTTTTTTTTTTTTAACATGTATTCCCCATCCCGGTCCCCCCTCCCACCTCCCTCTCCACCCAATCCCTCTGGGTCTTCCCAGTGCACCAGGCCCGAGCACTTGTCTCATGCACCCAACCTGGGCTGGTGAACTGTTTCACCCTAGATAATATACGTGTTTCAATGCTGTTCTCTTGAAACATCCCACCCTCGCCTTCTCCCAAGGACTTTTATTCCTGAAAATCCTCCCCCTCTCATAGCAGCTGTCTCCTTATCCATTGGATCATTTCCACTGATGACCAATAAGCTGTAATGATTCCCATCTCAAAGAGATAAATGACTAGCTAGCCAAATACTCCCCCTAACCAGCTACTACCTTGTTTTTCTACTTCCATTTACAGCAAAACCATTGATGTGCTAAGTTGCTTCAGTTGTGTCCAACTCTTTGTGACCCATGAATTGTAGCCCGCCAGGCTCCTGTGTCCATGGGATTTCCCAGGCAAGAATACTGGAGTGGGTTGCCATGCACTCCTCCAGTGGATCTTCCCAACCCAGGGATGGAACCCCAGGTCTTCTGCATTGCAGGTGGATTCTTTACCATCTGAGCCGCCAGGGAAGCCCCCAAACCATTGAAAGACCTCATAATACATTCTCACCTCCCACCTCCTCCAGTCAGGCTTTTATCCTCCACAGCTGTGCCAGTCACAGTGGAATTATGACTTTTATTCAGACTCACCAAGATGGTCCCCACCCTAGGGCCTTTGCACTTGCTTTCCCCTCTGCCTAAAACTCTTACCACAATCATCCTATGACCAGCTCCTTCCCTTCAGCCAGGTATCAATTATCACCTCTTCAGAGCAGCCCTTTCTGACACCATAAAAATGGCATGCTCACCCCACCTTCATCCTGTCTCTTATTCCTTCAACCCTTTCTTTTCCTTTATAATCGTTATTAGACCCTGACATAGTCCATCTTTCTCTTTCTGTTTTTATTTATGTATTTATCTTTGGCTGCACTGGGTTTTCATTGGTGTGTACAGGCTTCCCCTAGTTGTTGCGAGCGGAGGCTGCTCTCTAGCTGTGGTGCATGAGTTTCTCATCGCAGTGGCTTTTCTTGTGGACCGTGGGCTCTAGAGCATGTGGGCTTCAGTAGTTGCAGCACATGGGCTCGATAGTTGTGGTGTGTGGGTTTAGGTGCCCCGTCACGTGAGGGATCTTCCCAGATCAAGGATCGAACCCATGTCTCCTGCATTGGCAGGTGGATTCTTAACCACTGGACCACCAGGGAAGTCCATCTTCTTCTTTCTTTGTTTGCCCCATTAGAATGTAGGCTCCATGGGGAAGGGGCCTTGTCTCTCTAACCCTAACCCTGGAGCCTAGAAGAGTGTCTGGCACGTGGAGATGCTAAAAATGTATTCCCTCGATGAAAGACCCAGAGCCCACGTCCACACGAGCAGTGGTTACTCTTGCTTCCCTATCTGGGGGGCAGCGTCCACCACACCCCGCAGGCTGGTTTCTGTGTGGGACTGAGCCCTCTGGCCCATCTGCTGCTCTCTCTCATATAAACACTCCCCTTGTGGGAAGGAGCCATGGGACGTGTGAAGCTATTATTGCTTTAGAAGCTGGGATCATCTCCACAAAGCTGGCAGATGTCCTGGAAACCCGGCCACTGGGCTGAGAGTCATTCATTCATTCAGTGAAGTTTTATTGTACGTTTTTCATGTGTCAGGCACTAGGCCAGGTCAAGAATATGAGCAGTGAACAAAACAGACAGAAACCCTGACCTTGTGGAAAGCAGTGGGAGCTGACTTTAAACACCCAGTAAATACATATGATCACATGCTGTTCCCTAGGGCTGGTCACCCTATAGACGGGTCAAGCTCGTGCCTGACTGTGGGGAGTAGGGGGCATGGGGAAGCTCTGAGACAAGACAGGAAGAGCCCCCTGTGGCTGGCCCAGCTTGGGAAGGCCCCAAGGCTGTGGACCATACATCCTGACCCGGGATCAGCTCTGACATTGGCAGGATGTGGATATGTCCCAGAAAATCTGCTGACCCTCAGCAGTCTCCTGACCACTGCTGACCACGTCCCTCCACTGCTTGAGAGTCTCCAGGCAGGACTTCCCCATGACCCTCCTTCGGGGTCAACTTCAAAAGACTTGGGCTCATTTCCTCATCTGTAAAACAGAGATAATAATGGTACCTCCCTCACTAGGTTACAGTAAGAATGAAATGAAAACCAATGCAAAATGTTTAGCTGCACTCCCTGACTCACAGTGAACACTCAGAAAACATTCGTGTTTTTTTTTTTTTTTCTGTTTTATTTATGTATTTGGCTACACCCGGTCTTAGTTGCCACACATGGGATCTTCAGTCTTCATCGCAGCATGTAGGGTCCTCTTCATTGCAGCTTGAGGAAGCTTTTAGTTACAGCATGTAGACTCTATTAGATATTAATAGTTCCTCGACCAGGGATCGAACCTAGTCCCCTCTGCCTCCCACATTGAGAGCTCAGAGTCTTAGCCACTGGACTACCATGGAAGTCCAGCATCAGTTTTGTTGTTATTATTATTTATTACTGTTACAACCATCTCACCACCAGCACCATCAGCTCCTGAGCCTAAAACTGGTCTGGCACCCAGGAGCTGCTGTGTGAAAAGTGAAGTGTTAGTCGCTCAGTCATGTCCGACTCTTTACCACCCCGTGGACTGTATGTAGTCCACCAGGCTCCTCTGTCCATGGAATTTTCCAGGCAAGAACACTGGAGTGGGTTGCCATGCCCTTCTCCAGGGGATCTCCCCGACTCAGGGATCAAACCTGGGTCTTCTGCACTGCAGGCAGATCCTTTACTGCCTGAGCCCCCAGGGAAGCCCCCAGTTGCTGGGTGTGTAAAAGTTTACAAGGCGTGGCTGGTCCTACTAGTCCCTCCACCAGCGGGCTCCTCTCCTGCCTCCTGACCTGGTCTCAAGCAATGCCCGTCCGCTGCCTAACTGGTACCCGTCTCTCAAAACTCACCTCCTCTTAGAAGCTTGTCTCTAAAGCCCCCCATCACTCCTCCAGGCCCCTGTCAGCTCTCCGTCAGCACCTGCTCTGACCTCCGTTGTAGCTTCTGTCGGACTTCGTGAAACGGCTGAGGTCCTTCTGCCTCCCCCAGTTAGAACATAATCTAAGGCAGAAACGGGGTTGCGTCTTTCTCCTCTATATGCAGTGCCTGGTAGATAGAAATAATAATAGCAGCTAATGTTTACCGAGCATGTTTTATGCTTTACTTGTTAACTATTTTAAGATTTTAAAAAAATATTTTTGGCTGTGGTGGGTCTTCGTTGTTGTGCACAAGCTTTCATCTGGTTGCAGGGAGCAGAGGCTGCTGTCTGCTTGCAGTGCGCGGGCTTCTCATTACGGCAGCGTCTCTTGTTCCGGAGCACAGGCTCTAGGGCACACGGGCTCAGTGGCTGCGGTGCATGGGCTTAGCTGCCCCACGGCAGGTGGGATCTTACTTCCCAGACCAAGGACTGAACCCATGTTCCCTCTGGCAGGCAGATTCTTAGCGATTGGACCCCCGGACACATCCCTTATTTATTGCATCCTTTCAACAACATGATGATGTATCAACCATCACCATCCGCATTTTACAGATGAGGAAACTGAGGTTAAGGAACTAATAGCTCAAGGTCACAGAGCTAATGAGAGCCCAAGGTTTGAACTACTCCATGAAACAAATGTCTCTTGACTGCATGACTTGCTCCGGATGATGTGGCTGCTCTTGCTGGATCATTCCAGGAAGGCTCAGGCCCCTTGGATTCTAATTTTAAGACATGGGGCATGGTGGTTATTTGTCTTCCATATGCTGTAGTTCCCCCAGGGCTTCAGCCCTCTTCAGAGATGTCTAGTTCCTTCTTGGCTGAGACAGCCACTCCTTTGGGAGGTGATTCCTGGAACTCTCTGCCAACAAGTGACAGAAAAAGGCACTGTGGTTTGATTCAACAGCATCCAGAGAGCCATTTGCTGGGTGTTTGGGGAGAGTGTGAGCATGGCCTGTGAAGCTGGACACCACCCCCAGAAGGCCAAGGGCGGCAGCCTGTGGTCTGAGGGCTTACTATGGCTATTGTGTCTGCTTGGGCACCTCAGAGGCTCTGGCTGTACCTTGCATTTGGGTATTTATTTTCATCAGTGAGAATGGGTCCAGGGGATTGCTCTCCCTTTTTATAGATTGCCAGGCCCTCCCACGGTCCATCCGGGAGCCCTGCAGCTCACCGGCCACTCTCCTCACTCCTCTCATCAACACCTTCTTGCCACCTTCCTATTTAGAAGCAGAATGTGACCATCATGGACCACCACTCCGCTGCAGAGTCCTTCATGAAGTACATGCAGAATGAGTACCGCTCCCGAGGGGGCTGCCCATCCGACTGGATTTGGCTGGTCCCCCCGATTTCCGGAAGCATCACTCCCGTGTTCCACCAGGAGATGTTAAATTACGTCCTGTCCCCTTTCTACTACTACCAGGTAAAAGGGGGGCTTCCTCTACTCTCTTGGGAACTCAGGGGTGGAGAGAGCGTGTGTGCATCTGCATGTGTGTGTGTGTGTGTGTGTGTGTTTGCCTGTGCTTATGTGTGCTCACTAGTGCAGGACATATAGGGAAGAATCAGGGACACAGAGGCATATATTTAATGCTTTCTGGGCTTCACTCAAGGATGCTTTTGTCCATTTCCACAGAGGTGAGACTGAAGGAAACACCTTTCATTGTACCTTTAGTAGCCCAAAGCTCTGAAAGAACTGAAGCTCATGAGGGTGACCCCCATTGTGCCTGCCCACCCAGGGGGGCTGTAGACAGTCACAGAGCACCGTGGCGAGGAGCCTGGCTCCTACCCACATACATCTGGGGTGATTCTCCCACTTCCTAGCTGTGTGATCTTGGGTGGGTTATTACACCCATCTAAGCCCTGATTTTCTCATCTCTGAAAAGATGGATGTCAGCTCCATGATGGCAGAGGTGGTCAGGAATCCTGTGAACTGGTGTCCAGAACAGCTCAGCCCAGTGCCCTACCCAGAGTACACTCAGGAACTGCCACCCAGTGAAACGGGATCTTTTTTTTTTTTTGGTCCAAAAAGACCTTGGTTAGATTTAGGGAGGAGCTTCCTTGTTCTAAAGGTAAGAAGGAGGGTGACTGACTGCCTGGGACACTGTGGGCCTGTTGTCACAGCACCTCCTACTCTCAATGGCATTCCAGGTCAGACTATACATTATATACAGTCTATATAGGCTTCCAATGATAAGACATCAAAAGGAAAGAGACGTGAGGCCCCTCCTTCCAGGGGGACAGCTGAATGAAAATCAGCTGATCTGTGCCAGACAGGAGCTTCAAGTCTGAGGGAGACAGACAGATGCAGCCCTTCCCCGTGTGGCTTTCAGTGAGGGGGTGGGGACAGGGTCTGCTTGCCTCCCCACCCCGCCAACTTACGAGGGCATGCCTTACAGAGGGCATGAAGGGCCCTCTGTCTCTCCAAGCCGGAGCCAAGCCAGGGTCTGTCTTGCCTACATAACTGTCCTCTTTTCTGAAGGTGGAGGCCTGGAAAACCCACGTCTGGCAGGACGAGAGGCGGAGGCCCCAGAGAAGAGAGATTCGATTCAAAGTCTTGGTCAAGTAAGTAGGAGCGGTCCATGTTAACATCTGAATGGCAGCCCTTCCTTCTAGGCCTTGAAGGACAGGGAACAAAGAGAAAGGATTTGGAGGGCCTTCTCTGGCAGTCCAGTGGTTAGGACTCAGCGCTTCCACTGTGGGGTGCGCGGGTTTGATCCCTGCTGGGGGCGCTAAGATCCCACGTGCCTCATGGGCAAAACACTAAAGCATAAAACAGAAGCACCATTGTAACAAATCCAATAAAGACTTTAAAAATCTTTTTTAAAAAGCATATTAAAACTATTTTAAAAAAGAAAGAGAAAGGGTTTTGTTCCCAGATATATGTGCTTGCTAAGTCACTTCAGTCGAGTCTGACTCTTTGCGACCCTATGGACTATAGCCTGCTAAGCTCCTCTGTCCATGGAATTCTCCAGGCAGGAATACTGAAGTGGATTGTCATGCCCTCCTCCAGGGGATCTTTCTGATCCAGGGATCAAACTTGTGTCTCATTATGTCTCCTGCATTGGCAGATGGATTGTTTACCACAGGCGCCACCAGACCCCAATTCCATGGGTTGCCTGTCACCTCTGCCCCAGAGTTCTCTCGTCTCTATTTTCCCAAAGGACCTGAGTGGTGGGTTGAGCAGGGGAGGGGAATGAGACAAAGTCCATAACTGGTAAGAAGCCTGGATTCTTTTCCCTCAACCTGCCCCGCTGTAAGCGCAGGGCCCCCGTCTTCCTTTTGGGAAGGCTGACTTGGCACCTACTCTGTCGTCCCCACAGAGCCGTGTTCTTTGCCTCAGTGCTGATGCATAAGGCCATGGCATCCCGGGTCAGAGCCACGATCCTCTTTGCAACGGAGACAGGGAGATCAGAAACGCTGGCCCACGACCTCGGGACTTTGTTCAGCTGTGCCTTCAACCCCAAGGTAGCCACCTCAGCCTGTGTGTGGGGAAGTCTGGGGTGAGTTACAATGATTGCTCTGCTCCTAGATATCTCTGAGCCTCGGGACATACTTTGCAACTCTGTGATAGAAGGAGAGATATGTGTCCCGGGACTCCCAACTTACCCAGTAGATAAGCTTTTCATAGTGTTCCAGGAAACACAATTTGAGAAACATGTTTCTAATGATGCTAAGTCTCCGAGCTGTTCCAGAGGAATTTTATTATAATTTGTGGAGCACCTCCTATACAGGGTGCGGGGCTAAAGGCGAAGGACACAGAGAATGGATAAGATGCAGAGAAATAAAACGAAACCCCTAAGGGTGACTCATTCTTTCTAGCAGTGTGTTGGATTTGAGCCTCCATCACTGAAGTCACTGAAGGCATCCCGGGTCAGGCTGGCCTGGGTAGAAACCTGAGGCCCTGACATATTTCACCTGAGATTAGCTTCAGCAAAGCATTTGTGTTCCCAAGATGCCAAAGGAGTTGAGCAATTTTGTAACCTGCTCATGCTGTTTTGTGAAAAATATGTCCGCATTCTTGGAATCCGAAATAGCGGTGGAAGTGGTGAGATGTGATGTGGGACATGGAGTGTTTTGGAGGCAGAGCCCCCAGGGCTGGCTGATGTGCTAGCCGTGGGAGAATCAAAGAACCCAGGATGCTGTGTGCAAATAGGTTCGGTTGGCAGGGACTTGTTAAGTACTTACCTCCTCCGTGCCAGGCACCAGGGGACGGAGCTGATGATAGGGACCCAAGCGCTGGATGCCTGGGGAGGGCGTGGAGGGAGTCAGCCTGGGGAGCGAGGGCTGACATCCATCCTGGGTGCCCTGCAGGTTCTCTGCATGGATCAGTACCGGCTGAGCCACCTGGAGGAGGAACAGCTGCTTCTGGTGGTGAGCAGCACTTTTGGCAACGGAGACTCCCCCGGCAATGGAGAGGTGGGTGGCCCAGGGCCCAGGGCCCAGGGGCCTGGGGGCTGGTAAGGGCCCTAGAGGACCGAGGGAAGGACCTGGGGACTCAGCATGTCCTAAGGAGGGCATTTGGGAATGAGAGCTCCGATCACTCTGGGTTGCCCTAATGTTAGCCATCAGCCTTCCTTCCTCCTTTGTAATTACCAGTGTATACTCGAGCTGCCAAGCCTATGATGTGCTTCATATATTTCAGTAAATTGACCTGCCTTTTTAAATTCAAAAATTCATTTTTAGAGGAAAATTTATATCAGTCTCACAAATGGAAAGCCAGCAAAGAGTGGTCCCACATACATCCAATGAAAGTCAAACAGTTATTGAATTTTAACCAGATACTGTTGCCTAACCATGGCTTACTTTGTTCTCAAAAAGAATAATACGTATTAGAGAAGTGTTAAGTCTCCATTGGCAGTGATCTGAGATTTTTCCCTAGAGTTCAGGACAAGAAAATAAAATATTTGAAACAGGAGTAACTATTTAAAAATTATAGAAAAAAAATATTTTCCTACCATGTGATTTGACACTATTTTCCATCTCAAGTTATCTTGGAAAAAAAACAAAAGAAAGTGAAAATGTTAGTTGTTCAGTCATGTCTGAGTGTTTGCGATCCCAGTGGACTATAGCCTGCCAGGCTCCTTGTCCATGGGATTCTCCAGGCAAGAATACTGGAGTGGGTCACCATTCCCCTCCTGGCCCAGGGGTCAAACCCAGGTCTCCCGCATTGCAGGCAGATTCTTTACCACTGTGCCACCTGGGAAGTTATCTTGAGTTTCTGGGAAATCAGGGTTATTTTGGAGAATATGGGACCAATTGTCAATCTGACAAGAAGAAAGGCTCAGGCCCCATCAGGAGATCCTCTGGAGATACCCTGCTCTTAGACAGCCCCCCCCCCCCAGGGCTGGGCTCTCCTGGGTCCCCCATCAAAGGTCAGGCCCCCGTGAGGTGCTGAGGCTGAAACTGTCCCCGAGTCCCAGTCAGGTGATCCACACATACCAACTTCCTCGTGAGGATCTTGGACTTTTCCTGCCAGATCTGGCCAGTCTTCAAATGAGCCACTGGATGACTAGGAGATGCAGGGCTCTCATTAATCGTGTCCTGAGACATCTGTGATTCTCTTTCTAGAAACTGAAGAAGTCCCTCTTCATGCTGAAAGAACTCACCAACAAGTTCCGGTAATGCCCTTCCCTGCTCAGAGTCTGGGTTCCATCTGAGCATGGAGCTGGGGATATACGAGAGGGGGATTTCTCTGGGACGTCCAGGCACAAAGAGAGCCTGTCTTCAAGGGTGCATTGGTTAAAGCACGAAGACCAAGTTCCTCTCGGGTCTGCAGGCCAAGGTGGGGTTGGTCTTGGGAGTTGATGACAAGGTTCGGCAGTCAGGGAAGACAGGAAGGGGACGTGTGCCCTGGTGATCCTTGCCCAGCTGGCATGAACGTGTCTGGGGGCTGGCCTATGGCTTGTTGGCCCTGAGACAGGTGGCGGGTTGGCTCACCCAGGCTCCATAGTGTCCTCCTCCGGCAGGTATGCTGTATTTGGCCTTGGCTCCAGCATGTACCCTCAGTTCTGTGCCTTTGCTCATGACATCGACCAGAAGTTGTCCCAGCTGGGGGCTTCTCAGCTTGCCCCAACCGGGGAAGGGGACGAACTCAGCGGGCAGGAGGAGGCCTTCCGCAGCTGGGCTGTGCAAACCTTCAAGGTCAGTTCACAGCTGGGAGCTGCCCCACCACATGGGCAGGGAGGCTGTGGTGTGCGTGTGCCCCGGACACCTGTGCCAGGCATCCTGGGGTTCACCACCCCTATTGGGCCCTGTAGGCATGATCCCCGTGTGGGCAGGTTGGAGGACTCAGGTCGCTACTGCACCCCAACAGCCCCCAGAAGAGCTCCACTGAGACATGTGTCCCCCAGGTGGTAGAAGGTAGATAAGATGCTTCCCTGCCCTCGGGGAGCTATGGTTTAAGATCTTTCCCCCCTCTGATTATCCAGGTCACCTCCTGACATCCTTGTCTCATTTCAGTGTCCCAGCTACAGAGAACTTGAGACAGGGCTATCTCAGTAGGTCTTTAGGGCCTGCAGCTTGACCCCACTGACTGAGAAAACTCACTGAAGCAAAGTCTTTCACCCCACAGCGGGGCTTATGAGCACCAGCTTGAGAGGGGCCGGCATGATTCCCAAGCCCATGTCTCCTCCACACGATTCCACATCAGGAAAATGGGAGCAATCAAACCTGTCTCATGGTGTGGGCATGCAGATAAAAGGAGATGCTGTCGTTATTATTACTATTCATAATAGCAGCAACAGCTACTCTGTGCCAGGACCGGGCACTTTATACAGTCTTCATAATAGCCCTACCAGATAACTGTCCTTAGTAATTAAAGCACTTAGCTCAGTTGTAAGGAACGTGGTAGCCCCAGGGGGTGGTGATGCTGCCGCTGATGACAGGAATGGTTGTTAACACCGGTCTGTTCCATCTTCGTCCAGGCAGCCTGTGAGACATTTGATGTCAGTGGCAAGCACCACATTGAGATCCCCAAGCTCTACACTTCCAATGTGACCTGGGACCCACACCACTACAGGCTCACGCAGGACTCAGAGCCTCTGGATCTCAACAGAGGTACTGCTTCCCTGCAGCACGCGGAGCTTGTCTGCCCTTCCTGCCGCGGTGGGCGTGTCTGAGTCCTGAGCCTGTGGTCAAGGAGAACACTGTGTGTGTTTGTTGTTGTGTGCATGTGCATGTGTGTGTTAGCTGCTCAGTCATGTCTGATTCTTTGCGACCCCCTGGACTATAGACAGCCAGGCCCTTCTGTCCATGGGCTGCTCCAGGCAAGAAGACTGGAGTGGATTACCATGCCCTCCTCTGGGGGATCTTCCTGACCCAGGGATCAAACCCAGGTCGCTTGTGTCTCCTGAATTGGTGGATGGATTCTTTACCACTGTGCCACCTGGGAAGCCCAAGACCACTAGGACCCTCTGAATGGAGGCAGCTAGTCTAGGGCTACCAGGCGTCTCTCTCTCTCATTCGGTCCAAGAGTCTGTAGGGATATAAGACCCAGGGCTTGTCTGGTCTCTGAGGAGGGGAATTCAGAAGGAAACCCTGGGAGGGTGGTGGAAAGAGAAGGGTGCTCCCGTGTGCAAGACACTGTGCTGGGCTCTTTGTCCACCTACTCTAAGTGATCTCTGACACTCAGGCCAAGTGGGAAGCCCAGACAGAGAAACTGAGGTTCAGGGAGGTGTGACAAGTTGCTGGCACGAGGCCAAGTTGGGATTTGGGCCCTGGCCTTTCAGCTCCGGTGGCATCAGGGTATTAATGAAGGACATTTTGCAGAGGCAATTTCAGGCTGCGGTCTGGGAACTCTGGATGGCCCCTATCGATGCTGGATCCCATGATGCCTCTTGTTTTGTACCATAACTGCAGTGGTCCTGCAGGTTTCTGCATGTTTAGGATATCCTCAGCTTCAACTATGCTCTCCTGTGGATCCCAAGCCACGGGATGCTCTAGAAATCCCCATACCGGGGGCATCAAAATTGCATTCCCCAGCACCTAGCAGCAGCACAAGCACCTTCTGTCAGACCAAGGGTCTTTATTTGTGATTGAGAACACAGTGGGAAAAAAAGGCAGGGAAGGAAAACCCCAGCACCGTCACCGTGAGACACCCAGGGGAATGTCGGGTTTAATCGACTCAGCACGTGGAGGCTGCCCCGCCAACACTCACGACCCACGTCGCCACTTCACCGTCTCTCTGTTCTACAGCCCTGAGCAGTATGCACGCCAAGCATGTGTTCACCATGAGGCTCAAATCGCAGCAGAATCTTCAGAGTCCAAAATCCAGGTAGAGCAGAAGACAGGACTTCTGGGGTGAAATTCCACAGATTTTACTTATTTATTTACTTTTGGCTGCGCTAGCTTTCTCTAGTTGTGGTCTGCGGGGGCTACTGTCTAGTTTTGGAGCACAGGTGGAGCACAGGCTCTAGGGTGCATGGGCTTTGATTGTTGCAGTGCACAGGCTTAGATGCTTTGAAGCATATAGGATCTTCCTGGACCATGGATAGAATCCATGCCCTCTGCATTGGCAGGTGTATTCTTTACCACTGGACCACCAAGGAGGTCCCCACAGATTTTATTTTAATCAAGGGAAGACCAGAGTAAGTCAGTCTTTGAAAGAAGAAAACAAACATATCCACTGGCCTTAGCTACGGTGCTGTTGGTAGGACCAGCTAAACTTCTCACCCCTGTGGCCTCCAGCACCTTCACATCAGGTCTCCATTAACCACCGGCCAGTTTTCCAGCTTGGGAATCAGGAAGCTGCTTCACTTCCTGTCCTTTGTGATTTAACTATTTCACCAAAAAAAGGAGGGCAAGAGAAACTCAAACCCTTTGGCTCTTCCTTAGGAACTTTCAGGAGAAGTTTTGACAGGGCAGGATGTTTCCCGCTGGGCAGCCAGTGTTGTGGATTCTCTGTAATTTATCTGTGCTGTCCTTACATTCATTAGCAAAATTGGGCTGTGTTCTAATAAGAACCAGATTTGTGCTGACACTAGGAAAGGTTTGTCTCAATGCCCACGTATCTCCCAGTGACAAGCTTTCTTTAGGCAGAGTCTGTGGTCAAGCTCTTGTGGAGGGTGGCACGGGAGGGATACTGCCCACCCTCTCCCCATGGAGAAGCCACAGTCCCTATCAGCCCCCAGCCCTCTTGAGCACCCCAGCCCTGGGATGCCGGCAACCTGTGTTCATGGAACCTGGCAGGAACATGAAAGGAGGGCATGTTTCCTGGGGAAGCTGGCCCACCCATCGGGGAGCATGGGAGGAAATCCTGGTGGCATCATCAGAGGCTTCTTTTTCCTTCTCCAGCCGCACCACCCTCCTGGTGGAACTCTCCTGTGAGGGCAGTCAAGCTCCAAGCTACCTGCCGGGGGAGCATCTTGGAGTTTTCCCATGCAACCAGCCGGCCCTGGTCCAAGGCATCCTTGAGCGAGTGGTGGATGGCCCTGCCCCGCACCAGCCTGTGTGCCTGGAGACCCTCTGTGAGAATGGTGAGCTTTCTGCAGGGGAGCTTGGCTGAGGTGACCTCAGCATCCTCCCACCTCCCCGCCTCCAGCCCCACTGATGGGTTGGGCTGCAAACACTCATCTAGTCTTGTCCTTCTGGCTGAGTAGGGGGCTCCTGAAGCCTGCCCCAAAGCAACCTTGTAAATAGTTCTGGACTATTTATTCTGGACTATATATTCTGGACTATAATAGTTCCAGCAAGAAGGGATTCTTCTTGGAACTGTCTGCCCAACACCAGAGGCTGGGCTGTCTTTCCCCTTCATTCATTTCCTTAACTGGCCACTTTGGTTGATTGATTCATTTTTCCATCGAAATTTTAACCACACGTATCTACATACCAGGGGCTTCCCAGGTGGCTCAGCAGTCAAGAATCTGCCTGCAGTGTAGGAGATGCAGGTTCAATCCCTGGGTCAGAAAGATCCCCTGGAGAAGGAAGTGGCAATCCACTCCAGTATTCTTGCCTGGGAAATCCCACAGACAGAGAAACCTGGTGGGCTACAGTTGCAAGAGTCGGACACAACTTAGCGATTAAACTATCACCACCGCCATCTGTATGGAAAGAAAGAAAGAAAGTGAAATCACTCAGTTGTGTCCAACTCTTTGCAACCCTGTGGACTGTAGCCTACCAGGCTCCTTCGTCCATTGGATTCTCCAGGCAAGAAGACTGGAGGGGGTTGCCATTCCCTCTCCAGGGGATCTTCCCGACCCAGGGATCGAACCCAGGTCTCCCACATTGCAGGCAGATGCTTTACCCTCTGAGCTACCAGGGAAGCCCAATACCACCTGTATACCAGGCTACAAAACATCTATATCCTGGGCTATGTGTGCATGTGTGCTAAATCATTTCAGTTGTGTCTGACTCTTTGTGACCCCGTGGACTGTAGCCCACCAGGCTACATGTGGGCTGGGATTTTCCAGGCAAGAATACTAGAGTGGGTTGCCATATCCTCCTCCAGAGGATTTTCCCAACCCAGGGATTGAGCCCATGTCTCCTGCATTGCAGGTGGAATCTTTATCATTTGAGCCACCGGGGAAGCTCCTACCTGTGCTAAAATGAATGAGACTTCATGGCTGCCCTCAGAAAAACTATTACTTAGTACAGGAGGCAGATATGCAAGAGTAGTCATAATAATTAATATAATAATAACAGTAGCAGCCACCACAGGATAGAAAAAGACTTTTCTCTTAATGAACAGCTTACCTACCTCTAGGGTGTACATCAGTCTTTGGTGAATTTAGTCACTCTGAGTCTGTAGTTCACCTGTGTGTGTACTGCTGAAGTTCAAGTCTGTGCCAGAGAGGGACTGGACTCTGGTGCATGGTTAGTTTTGCAGGATTGTGTCCACTTGGGTGCCCTTTGGGGGGCTATTGATCAGCCTTTTCTAGCAGTCCTGTCTCTGAGCACCGTCCTCCTGCACTCAAGTTTGGCATGTGAGCCCTTTTACTGTTCCTGGAACCAGAATTTCAGTGTCTTCTCTCCCCCGCAGCTGGAGGGTGGAGGGTGTCTGTCCCAGATGCATAATCACTCTTTGGGAAACCTAAATGGGGCCTCTTTCCTATCCTGTCTCCTTTCTTCCCTCTTCAGGCAGCTACTGGGTCAAGGACAAGCGACTGCCACCTTGCTCACTCAGCCAGGCTCTCACCTATTTCCTGGACATCACCACACCACCAACCCAGCTGCTGCTCCGAAAGCTGGCCCAGCTGGCCACGGAAGAGGCTGAGAAGCAGAAGCTGGAGACGCTATGCCAGGTGAAGGTTGGGGCTAGTGGGCGAGGCTGGGGCAGGGTCCCAGAGTTGGGGGAGCCTGAGCCTAGAGCTGGTTTTTAAGCTTCAAGAGGATCCACCCCAACTTCCCAAAGTGTGACTTGTCAAAGGCTGGTGGGAATTCAGACATCCTCTTCCATCCCATTTCTAGGACATAGTTGCATTAAGTGAACTGAGTTTTTTGAATGTCTGCAGGATGCAACCTAAGTGCCCTTCCTCAGAAATTAGGTAGAAAAGGAGAACCATTCTCTTTTGTATTCCCCACACCTGGAAGAAGCCTGGAACTCAGGAAGTGTTGGAGGATAGATGGTGTGGATGAATGGACATAGTAACAGATGTGTAGCAGTTGAATTAATAAATGAATGAAAGAATGCATTAACTCACTGGAAACTTTCTAGGCCCAAGTCTTTGCAAAGGCACTTCCAACCCAGGGATCGAACCTAGGTCTTCTGCATTGCAGGCAGATTCTTTACCAGCTGGGCCACAAGGGAAACCCAAAGAATACTGGAGTGGGTAGCCTATCCCTTCTCCAGCGGATCTTCCTGACCCAGGAATCAAACTGGAGTCTTCTGCATTGCAGATGGATTCTTTACCATCTGAGCTGCGAGGGAAGCCCTTTGCAAAGGCACTGGATATCATTGTCTCTAATTATCTTGATTACTGCCATTAACCTGTGGCTGCACTACACTAACTTGGCACACATTTTATCACTTAATTCTCACAACATCCCCACGAGGTAGGCAACGCTGCCCTCACTCCACAAAGGTTAAGTAATGGGGACAAGATCCCACAAATAGTAAGAGTCTGCAGTCAAGGTTTGAACCCAGGTCTGTATGATTCCAAGTGTGTTAGTCGCTCAGTTGTGTCTGACTCTTTGTGACCCAATGGACTGTAGCCCGCCAGGCTCCTCTGTCCATGGAGTTCTCCAGGCGAGAATACTGGAGTGGGTTGCCATTTCCTTCTCCAGGATATGATTCCAAAGCTCTCCCCTAAATTAGGTTATGATGAAAATTTGACTGCTGCCCATGTATGATTCCAAAACACTCCCCCAAATTAGGTTATGATAAATATTTGGCTGCTGCCCACCAGTAATTGACAGTAAGGTTCTAAGCACACAAGTTAGAGAAATGCTACTCCTCACCTTAGTATTTTCAGCACCACGGACAGCACCTGGTTCTTTGAAATGTTTGCTGTGGGAATGAATGAGTGAATGAATGAATACAGAATTGTGACAGCCTCTTCCCTCTGTGTGGAGCAAACTCCCGGAGACACTCACGTTGCCCTTGACTTTCAGCCCTCGGATTACAACAAGTGGAAGTTCACCAACAGCCCCACATTCCTGGAGGTGCTGGAGGAGTTCCCGTCCCTGCGGGTGTCTGCCAGCTTCCTGCTCTCCCAGCTCCCTATTCTGAAGCCCCGGTACTACTCCATCAGCTCCTCCAGGGACCTCACACCCACGGAGATCCACCTCACTGTGGCCGTGCTCACGTACCGCACCCGAGGTGAGGCTGGGGCGGTGGCTGGGGAGCAGCCCAAGGCTGCTACTTACTGGGCAACTGTCAACACCTCCGAGCTTTGATCTCTTCATCATTAAACACCCATCTTCCAGACCTGTTAACAGCAGTGGGAGGAGTACGGGAGAGATCACTATGAATCAGGCACTGGGCTAACCTCTTTGTAGATGTGATCGGAGAAGCACATTCACATGGTTTCTGAAAACCGGGCAGAGACCCACTTTGCTCTGCTAAAGAACATTTGCAGGAGAACTGGGTTCCATCCCTGGGTTGGGAAGATCCTTTGGAGAAGGGAACGGCTACCCACTCCAGTATTCTTGCCTGGAGAATTCCATGGACAAAGGAGCCTGGCAGGTTACAATCCATGGGGTCGCAAAGAGTCAAACATGACTGAGCGACTTTCACTCATAGAGCACCTGCAGAGGCCAGGTCTCAGTCCTCGGACCAGGGGAGGGGAGGCCGGTGCACATCCTGTGAAAGAAGGATCCCACCCCGAGGGAAACCAACAGGACTTCTCGGTTAGGAGCACCAGAGTAGGAGTTAGGGCAGCTGAGTTGTGACCTGATTCTACTGTTACCTGAGGGACCTTGTACAAGTCACCTTCCCTCTCTGAGGCTCAGCTTCTGCAGTGAGAGAGCCTTGCCTGCTCTCTGAGTCCCTTTCAGCTTTTGCCGACTCTGGGCACGTAGAGAGTATAGCTCAGAACCAGGAGGAAGAGCAGCCCTCTGACTAAAGCCTGTTGAGTGCCTGGGCCGTTCAGGGAGGAGCCACTGAAAGCGTTCATGCACGGGTGGCAGGGACCACGTAGGTCAGTGTGTGCTGTCCTTGCAGATGGCCAAGGTCCCCTGCACCATGGTGTCTGCAGCACGTGGCTCAGCAGCTTGAAACCCCAAGACCCGGTGCCCTGCTTTGTGCGAAGGTAGGCACTCCCTCCACTGTGTCTATTGTGGGACCACTGGCCCCGGGGAGTACTGGGTTGAAAGGGGAGGCTTCTGGGGCTTAGACGCCACTCTGGGACTATTGGCCCATAACGAAGGCACTGGGGTCACACGGGGCCTCTCCATTCTAATCCCTAGTGATAGACCACAGCCAGGTCTCTAGCAGGGACAGAGGCTGAGCGGTGGTGGGCTCAGAACAATGAAGCTCAGCCTTTTTCCCAAAGGACCCCAGGGTGAGGTGATGATGCGCCTGGATGGGGGACATGAAATAGTCTGCAGGACTTGGGAAATCAAATTTGAGCTCGTTGTCTCCACTGCAACCCCCCGCCCCTCAACACTGCTGCCTCAACCACCGCAGGTCCCATGCCTGTCCTGTGTGTGTGCATTAGACCCAGAGTGTCTGAGGACAGGGCCTCTTTCCTTCTGTCCCCTCAGTGCCAGCGGCTTCCAGCTTCCTGAGGACCGCTCCCGTCCTTGCATCCTCATCGGACCCGGCACGGGCATCGCCCCCTTCCGCAGTTTCTGGCAGCAGCGACTCCATGAGGCTGAGCACAAAGGTATAACTGGAGGGCTCCCGGGGGTGGGAGGGGGCACCAGATGGTGCCCAGCACCTGCCTGGGAGTAGAACTGTAACTGTAACCATCTCACAGACATTTCCTGGCCCGTCTCCCAAGTTTACCTCAGCCTGTGTGGAAAAATGATATGAATGCCCCGGGCCTCAGTTTCCTCATCTGTAAAATAGGGACAGTACTATTTTCGATAGGATGTGGCAATGAAATGGGATTCCAGTTGGGCGCCCAGCTCAGCCAGCCTTGCAGCATGATCTGCCCGCCCTCTGCTGGCCACCCTGGTAACTGCGACCTGCTCTGGGTCTTGCAGGGCTCCAGGGTGGCCGCATGACCCTCGTTTTCGGGTGCCGCCGCCCCGAAGAGGACCACCTCTACTGGGAGGAGATGCTGGAGATGGCCCGCAAGGGGGTGCTGCACGAGGTGCACACAGCCTATTCCCGCCTGCCTGACCAGCCCAAGGTAAATGCCACAACTGTGCGTGTAGAAAGGGTGGAGCATTAAAAGAACAGACTGTGGTGGGTGTCTGGCTCCCCACAAGCCCCTTACCTCTGTGAGCCTTCACCTCCTCAGCTCCAAAATAGAGGCAAGGGACTTGCTTGGTGGTCTAGGGACTGAGACTCTGTGCTTCCAATGCAGGGGACCCGAGTTCGATCCCTGGTCAGGGAACTAGATCCTGCATCATGCAACTAAAGATTCTGCATGCTGAAACAAAGACCCAGTGCAGCCAAACAAATAAATGTTTAAAAATAAAATGGAAGCCATTATACAGTCACCGGAGCGGTGCTGTGAAGCTACTCATAGTATGTTCACTCTTCCAGGAGAAGAGACAGGTCCTGAGACGGTCAGGGCTAAGTCAGGGTTATGTATGGGTTCATCCCCAGTGCCCAGCCTGCTGAAGGCTCCCCGCTCTGGATGTACAACTGTTGGGGTGGGTGGTGGTCCAGGCACTGCAAGGCTGGAGGATGGCTGCTGTTCCCTGAATGGCCTGCTGACCCACTCTGCTGTCCCAGTGGGCACTTTGCCCCAAGAGCCTGCGCAGTCAGAACAGTCTCTTGGCTCAGCCTTTGTGAATTTGTCCCTTTGGGCACTCTCCCACACTGGTACTCCCATGCCTGGTGGCATCACTTGTGTGAAGCAAGAGCAGAGAGCCCCGGTTGACTCCAGGACTTCTGAATATCTGGGGAACCCTGCTCTGAATTAAGAGGAGGGTCCCCTGGACAGTCTGCACTGAGAGACTCCCTTTTCTGGGGTGTAAGCAGATGGGCCTCAGAGCCCTGGGCAGGGCAAGTGGCTTGATTGATGCCTCTTTGAAGTGTGTTAAATCCAGAGCAAGTGTGCTAAATCTGGGAGCTCCCCTGGAGGCCAGCTCCTCAAGGGCAGGGCTGCGGCCGGTACTCACCTCTCCAGCCCCAGCCCAGGCCTGGGCCAGGCAGGGTGCCAGTGCACCTCCTCCTCCCGGCCTTGATCATCTTCCCTGGCCGGGAGGGTGCTCACTCCATGGCCCCCTGTGCCCCCTCCCTGCCTCCCTGTGGCCAGGAGGCCTGACCACAGCCTTTGCCCTCAACGGCGGGGGCCTGGACCCACCATCTCCTCTGGTTTCAGGTCTATGTTCAAGACATCCTGCGGCAGCGGCTGGCAGGTGAGGTGCTTCGTGTGCTCCATGAGGAGCAAGGCCACCTCTATGTCTGCGGGGACGTGCGTATGGCCCGGGACGTGGCCTGCACCCTGAAGCAGCTGGTAGCTACTGCGCTGAGCCTGAACGAGGAGCAGGTGGAGGACTATTTTTTCCAGCTCAAGGTAGGGCTGCTGGTGGTGTGTGGGCTCAGGATGCAGGTCACGGGCACGGGCCTGGGAGCCAGGACCAGGGAACTCAGGCTCAGACTGAACTCAAAGGAATCCTAGAGAGGGCGGGAGGTCAGAGCTGGGGTGGGCTGTTAGAAGGCCTGACTTGTCCATCCTGATCTGGTTGCTCAGTTGGACAAAGGCAAACATGTTGATTTTCTGCAAGACACTCTGAGCCCCTAACACGCTGCTGTGCATCAAGGAGCTTGAAGACTCGGAGACAGTGCACAGCATTTCCCAACCATATTTATCTCAGAGCCCACAGTCCCTGGAGCCCCATGGGACAAGCACACGGCAGGCTTTGTTGTTGTTCAGTCGCTCAGTCATGTCCGACTGTCTGCGACCCCGTGGACTGCAGCACACCAGGCCTTTCTGTCCTTCACCATCTCCTGGAGCTTGCGCCCTCTGTCCCCCTCTTCCCCTCCTGCCTTCTATCTTTCCCGGCGTGAGGGTCTTTTCTAACGAATAGGCTTTAATGGCTGTCATAAAGCTTGGGGAGATGTTTTGTGGTCCACACCAGAGTGGGTGCTCATGGGAGTTAAAGAGTCTTATATGAGATTCACATCTAATCTAAGCATGGCAATTGGGAAGGCAAATAGTTCATGAGTGTCCGTGTGATGGGGAAACCAGGGAACCCTGGGGGCTGGCCCCAGCCTGGACCTGCTGAGTGAGAGGGCGCTGCACCAACAGAGCTGATATTAATACCTTGGTCTCTGTTTTCCCTTAAAGAGCCAGAAGCGCTATCATGAAGACATCTTTGGTGCTGTATTTCCCTATGAGGTGAAAAAGGATGAGGCAGCAGGGCTGCCAAGTGATCCCAGAGCTCCAGGCACCCATATGAGAAGTTAAAGCTGCTGGCATGGAACTTAATGATGACCCCCACTCTTGATTATCTGAGGTCAAAGGACTGGGGCGATTGGAGGGAGATTATATCCCCAAGCTTCACATCTTATTTCCCCATTTCCTTCCCTCTCAAACCCTTTACTTGACCTGCTACCAAGTAGCAGCCTTGGAGACAGAGTGTAACCTTTTGTCTCTCTTGAGCCCCTGCTCCGGGGTGATGGAGAGACAGGCCTCCCTGGTCCCTTGGAGACTAAGCCTGCAGTGCCATGTCTGGCCAGGGGGTGAGAAAGATGGAACTTCCTGGAGTGCACCACTTGGAGTGACCACTAGGAGGAGCTGTCATGCCACTCTGTATTTAGCTGCCCATGTACAGTTATTTATGCCTCTGTATTTAAAACAAGCAAACCCCAATCTGCCTCTTGGGCCTTCTTTGTATGATTACATGATGGAGATATTTATACGAAATACATTTTATTTTAACCACACTGTATATGTATGTGTGTGTTTTGTAAGGAAAGCAGCCTTAAGCTGTACAGAGTTAGGATTGGGGTGGTGGTGGTAGGGTTGCCATAGCTTGGACAAAAGTCCCCCACAAAGGGACATACCAGCTTGGCTACGTTGCTTCTCTGAAATGCCCACTGGGCCTGGGGGCAGCACATGAAGTTTTGTGCACTTCTGAAAACCTGTGATGGAGGTGAGGAAGCACAGGATGGTCTGAGGGCACCAGCTAGCTGAGCCCTGCATGGGAAGCATCGCACATGGGGTGTCGTGGAGACACGAGTTGCCAGTCCTTTAGTGAAGGCCTGCCCCACAGTCCGTCTCGGGAGTCACCACCTTCTGCTCTGGGGCTGCCTGTTTCATGACAGTTTGGCCAATAATGATTTGGCCTGAGTGACAAAGCAGGTGAGGCTGGGCTACGTGTCAAGGACTTGATGGTGAGTGAAGGACACACTTCTTCCACGGGGAAGGCTTCTTCAGGGACTGAGCCCGGGGGGAATAAGGAAGGAACTCGGCCAGGGGCTAAGTGGAGGGTTGGCTAAATCTGGCTCCCAGCCTGGGTTTGGACTCTTGTTACCTTGGCTCCTTGGCCCCCTTCTTCCCTCCCCCACTCCTGCTCAGATGGGGTGGCCGGGTGGTGGGGAGGTGGAGAAGGGGCACGCCACCAGTGTCCCAGCAATGCATCTGTACAACGTGGCCAAGGACAGTCCCCTGGACCAGCGCCTCTCCCACTCCAGCAAGCAGGAGACCACTGGGGCTCTTGTTACATCGCAGACTGAGGAGGTCTGCAGCAGACCCAGATTCTGTGTTTCTAAGGAGCCCCCAGGTGCTGCTGGTCCGAGCCCACCCCTGTTCCCGAGGACTGGATTCTTGGAGTTAGCGGGGTGTGCTGGCGTCATGGAGACACACAGTTGGGTCCCCCGGCACTGGCTCTGTGGCCGGCAGAACCCCTACTCTGAGTCTTTTCCCAGTCCCCACACACACTGACCCCCGATGCCGGGGCACCCACAGCAGAACCACACACACAGGCTTCTCTTCTGAGCCAGCTTCTGCGGAGCTCCCCGGCCCCCTCCTCCCCCCGGGACCCAGGGACCTGCTGAACTGGCTGTCGTGTGGCTGCCGGGTCCAGCCCTTGGCCCATTTCAGAAGCATGGAGCCATTGGTTTTCTGGGCTTCACCTCTATCACCAAGCTCCCAGCAAAGATTCCCGTCCAGAGGGGGCCTGAGCTTTCTCCCACACCCTTGTGGGGTGGGTGGGGGACCTGCTGGGAGCAGGCTCCAATGTCAGGAAGCCCCCTGATCAAAGTGAGCCAGTGAAATCTCCTCCTCCTTCCCTCAGCCAGGATCTTCCCAATTCCGGAGACAACAAAATGTCTCCAGATTCATTTAGTAAACCACAACTATCCCAGGCACATGTACCAACAAGTCTTTCTTTCTTTCTTTATTCGAAGGACACTGGGAAAAGGGACAGCCCCCTGCTGAGAAGGTTCTGGTCCATTAGTGGGGGCCAGGGGGGTGTCGGCAGGGTAGATTGAACAGAGCGGGGACAGGGTCAAGGTTGGAGAAAGGGGAGGGGTCGAGGATACTGCTTCCCACGTGGAGTGACAGCTGGCACTCGGACTAGGTGAACTTGAATTGGGAATGGGAATGTGGCTTCGAGGCAGGTGGGGCCGCAGGCCTGGAGCCTGGGAAGGCCAGGACCCTCCCTTTCTGCCACAGGAACTGAACAGGCCCTTCTGCCTGTGGACCACCTGTCTTCTGCAGGATGTGGGTGCTGCCCAGTCCTGGCCAGCGGCCCTCTCCGCTCAGCGCTGGCTGCAGCCAGGAACAGAGCCAGTCAAGGTCGTGGTCTCTCCAGCGAAGCCCCCAGATCCTGGGCAGGTTGGGGCTGGGGCTGGGGCAGGGACGATGTGGGTGGTGAGCAGATCCAGACAGCAACATAGGGTGGGGCTGGTCTATGTCTGCACGTGGGTCAGCTGGATGTCGCCCCCCACCTCCAGGTTGTTGATGGCGGTCAGGTTCTTCAGGCGGTGGTGGTATTCAAACAGGTGCTGACCATCCACGGCCACCTTGAAGCAGTGGCCTTCACACATGATCCACACCTGCACAGACAGGCCCCCTAGCATTTGCACCCCACCTGGGCTGTCCTCAAGCGGAAGGCAGGCTAGTCTCCCTCCCTCCTTCCCACCTTCCACAAACTTCAGTCAAGCAAGACCCACACCTGCATTTGAGCCACACCGAAGGATTCACTGTTGCCCAAACATGCCTCGCACTCTCCTTCCCAGCACCTTTTACACATTCTGTTCCCTGCCTCGCACCGCCACCCAGAATGTCGTTGCTCCCCACTCTGCACACCTTGTCCACATGGATCACTGCTAATCCCTCTTCAGGACTCACTCTCCTCCCTCCAACCAGCCTTCCCAGCCTTCCCGCACCTCCTGTGCGTTCACAGTCGCTCAGTCGTGTCTGATTCTTTGCGACCCTTTGGACTTGAGCCTGCCAGGCTCCTCAGTCCATGGGATTCACCAGGCAAGACTACTGGAGTGGGTCACCATTTCCTTCTCCAGGGGAATCTTCCCAACCCAGGGATTGAACCCACGTCTCCTATGTCTCCTGCATTGGCAGGCAGGTTCTTTACCTGCAGAGCTATTGGGGAAGCTCCCCACCTCCTGACCCCCATCGAGTAGTCAGATGCCCCCTTAGGCCTGGCCTCTGTCATCCATACCCCTAGGACCCAGCACACAGGCTTGGTCAGTGCTTGGGTTCCTGCTGCGGCAGCCCCTTAACTTGTCTTTTCCTTCCCAACATCCTCCAAGCGGCAGCAGCAGCACTTCTGTGAAACTATCACCGTGCCCACCGCACAGTAACACCAGCAGAGCGGTCCCTGCACACCAGGCACTGTCCTAAGCATGTCACAAACACGATCTCATTGCCTTCTTGCTTCTCCAGGAGATTGGTGTTACTTGTAGTCCCATATTTTAGATAAGGAAATTGAGGCACAGAGCAGTTAGGTCACTTGCCTAAGGTCACACAGCTATCAAAGTGTACTGCTTTCTGGCTTGCAACACACCAACACCTGGTACTAAAATCCAACCTCCTTTGCTATGGCCCACAAGGCCCTCTATCGGTCATTTTCAACTCTGGGAGGAGTATTAGGGCATATTTAAAAGCACAGATGGGGCTTCCCTGGTGGACCAGTGGTTAAGAATCCGCCTGCCAATGCAGGGGACCCCAGTCTGGTCCCTGGTCTGAAGAGATTCCATGTGTCACAGAGCAACTAAGCCCAGGTGCCACAACTACTGAGCCCACAGCTGTGCAACGGGCAGCGCATGCATTGCAGTAGAGCGTAGACCCGACTTGCGGCAACTAGAGAAAGCCCACGCACAGCAATGAAGACCCAGTGCACCCAAAAAAAAAAAAAATACAGGTGCCCAGGCTCACCCCCTCATGGGCCTGCAGTGGGGCCAGGCATTGATTTTTTTTTTTTCCCCAAGCTCTCAGGTGATCTGAGTGTGTAGTCAGGGTTGAGAATCTAGCTCTGTGTCATCCCAGCCTCCAGAATTCCCGCCCCCCCACCTCCCTGTCCTCCCTGCTTCCTAGACAGGCCGTGCCCATGACCCTTCCCTCTGCTGCCCCTACTCTTTCCAAGCTGGGCTCTCCCCCACCGCTGAGGTCCCACATGCACTGTGGCCTCCTCTGAGACCTCCCCCACCTAAGGCCACATGACCCTGGGGCTCACTTGTTCTCTATCCTACTTTGCTCTCCGCGTGGAACCCATTGCTATTTCACAGTGATCTGTCCTTCTTTCACTTCCCACCTCAACTGTAAACTCCGTGGGGTCAGGACCTAGACCGCTGGCATCACAGCTCCTCCCAGCACCTAGGGTACTTCCTGCTCAAAGCGGGCCTGGATGAAACAGCTGATAAATGACTGTTGAATGAGTGAGTGAATGAATGACACCTCCCATCCTGCACTGATTGGCTGTGTGACCTTAGCAAGTAATCTACACTCGTGAATTAGTTTCCTTATCTGTAACAGCCGATAGTACCTGCCCCCTGCCTTATGCAGGGCAGTAACAGTAAAATGATAATAGCAGTCATTTGGTGAACACTTTCTCTTCTTCTGAGGCCAGGCCTCAGGCTAGAGGCATCAGCTCTTGTCTCGATCAATGTGCCACCAGATGCCCTCCACCCGCTCTTCCATTTGCCCCTTGAGAGCCTGTTCGAGCTCAACGTGGCGACATCTCACCGAAAAGCTCTGGCCTCGGAAGAAGGGCATCCCTCGCGGCAGGCTTCGCTCTTCAGGCCCCCAGGAGCCGTTGATCTGCGTGTTGCGGACCACCGCGTTCTCGTTGAAGCGGGGGTTCAGGTGGAAGGCGATGTCACTCCCTGAGCGCAGGTTGATGTAGAACCTGGGGGGGGCAGGCCACTCCCATGGACTCTCTGCCCCGAGGCAGAGGGGTGGCCAGAATGATATTGGGGTGTCTCTTCTCCCCGGGAGCCCTGGCTTACCTCTGAGCACTGGGCAGGATGGTGCCCGACACCAGGATGCTCTTGGAGGGGTACAGCCCACCCAGGATGGAGGTGAAGAAAGGCAGTTGCTGTGGGGAGGGGGTGGGGCAGGTCAGCCAGCAGCAGCCAGAGCAGCTGCCACCCTAGGGGGACCTTTGTGCCAGTTTCTATGCATCTGGACTGTCAGCCCACCGTTTGCTGTGTCTGTGAGTGTCTTCAAGAAAGAACTCCATGGTATCTTTACTTGGTTCAGAAGAGGCAAAGAAAACCTTTCCAGCATTCCTCAAATTAATGGACATTTACCTTCAGGAAAAGAGCTTTGGTTGGATGCAAAGGATGCTCAGGCTGAGAAGGGGAGGCTGTATGATATGCTCAGGGTGAAGGGACGATTTTAAAGGTGAAAGTTCCTTTTGTAAGTCTTCTAAGTTACTCAGAAGTTTCCAGAACTTCCGTTTACTAAGGCACTGCTTTTAATTTTGTAAGCTGCGCTCTCCCCCTCCCCGCAACCCTGCACAGCACAAACCAGACCTCCCCTCCTCCCCGAGAAACCACTTACGTAAACCGGGTTGGGATACACCACGGGTGGGATCACGGGATTCTGTGCAAACGAGATTGAGAACGTCAGGGCGGGAGTGCGCACCCTCATGTGCGCACACATCCTCACGAGACCGCATGTTCTAGAGCGGATGCTCCAAGAGGAGACGTAAGTAGTAAAGGGTTCAGCCCTTGGGTTTTCCCAGCCACCTTCCTCCCCGTGTCAGCCTTGGTGGGACTTCCTGTCGTGTTCCTGGATCCCATCATGGTCACCTGCCCCTCAGCCCCTCCAAGAACAGCCCCGCTGACTCCGGGTCCCTGTGTGCGTGTCCCGGCAAGAGGCGGTGGCGGAGAAGCAGCCTACGTCACATCAGCAGTGACAGACATGCCAGGGACTCTTCTTCTGGATGCAGGGTCTTGTATCCAGCTACTGGGAGCATTGCGCGCCACCCCCACGCCCCCACCCCAGTGACAGAAGGACTGGTTTTCCTGCCGGCCCCTAGGGGATCTATTTCTTGCTACGCTGGATAAATCCAGCCTGATCCAGAATCTGCCGTCTCTAAGGAGAGTTTTGTGTGCATGTCCCCTGAGCGAAGGGCCTCAGCCCCAAATGTCCCCACCATCCTTGCTAAACTGCTTTCTTCCTGACCCTGGACCTAGAGAATTCAGCTTTTGGTAAAGGGGCACAGAGTAGGGCTGTGAGCTGACCAGAGTGTTCAGACTTACAGGGAACATCTGTCCAGGGGTGCTGTGTATGGTGTGGACGACGGTCTGAGTCTGGAAGGAAGAAACCACGTTTTTAACCAGCTCTCACCTGTGCGAGAACCACCACCTGCCCCCAGAAGTGGCCCTTAACACTTAATTCTCTCCTCTTAGGAGAGTTTCATCTTGAGCTTGTAACCAGCCAGGAGGTACCTCCAAATTGGTGGGTAGAGATATTTCTTCTCTTAAGGGGATGAAACAGGGGAAAAGGTTTCTTCTGAGAAGAAATATGGCTGCATTTGTGGCATGTGGCCTTTCTTAGGGGAATCACTCCAGCATAGCCTCACTTTGCAGAAGGAAGAAGTGGAAGTGGGGCCTTGGTGTCCTGCGGCTGCCCACAGACTGCAGGGGCCTGAGCAAACCAGTGGCCTTCGGGGCTGCTTCCTAATTCATCAGGGCCAGCCACCTCCCCCCACACCCCAGACCCTCCCACTGTTACCACCACAGCCGGGCAGACGGTCCCGGACTCTGGCCTTGGGGGCTCCACGTTCCAGCGGGAGAGGCCTAGTGTTTGACTCTGCTTCCTCCTTTAAAACTACCACCCAGGGACTGAACCCGGGTCTCCTGCATTGCAGGCAGATTCTTTACCTTCTGAGCCACCAGGGAAGCTCTCTTTTAACCCACAGGAAGAAACAAAGGGAAGAGCGTCTAAAGAGAGAGCAGGAGACTTACAATGGGAGCCGAGTTGGCTGGCCAGCTCCCTGGAGGCTGAAGGGGATGAGAAACGAAAATGGTGGTTAACATTGGTGCCGCGTGAGGGTAAGATGGCGGCGAGAGCTGTGGTAAGAAATGCCGCCTTCCTGCTGCCAAGCAAGCCTTTCTGAGCCTTCTGGGCGCCCAGATTCTCACCCTCCCCCGCCAGGATACACTGTGGTTATGCAACAGTGTCGGGGAGGGTTTGGAAGTGGAGGAGGGGGAACTTTCCTGCTGGCTCCTTCAGGAGGGGAAAGTGAAAATGTTAGTCACTCAGATATTTCTGATTCTTTGTGACCCCATGGACAGTAGCCCGCCAGGTTCTTCTTTCCATGGGATTCTCCAGGCAAGAATACTGGAGTGGGTTGCCATGCCCTTCTCCAGGAGATCCTCCCGACCCGGGGATTGAGCCCGAGTCTCCTGCATTGCAGGCAGATTCTTTATCCTCTGAGCCACCAGGGACGCCCTCAGAAGGAGAGGAGGCCATATCTGATACAGACCATTTCGCTTCCTTTAGCTCCCTGAGACAAACCCATCATTCCCGGTGCCCTAATTCACCCATATGGTGAACACCCACACCACAAGCCAGGCTCTGGCTTCAGGGCTTTACAAATGAGAGAGGCATCCTTACCTCCTGTTTTGCTGGTGAGGCAACCAGTTCTCAGAAAAATTAGGCAACTTGCCCAGACTCACCCAGATAACAAGAGATCAAATCGAAAATGGTACCCAGTTCTTCTGATAGTACCCATCACGCCCCATCCTCCCCAGGCCAGGGCCAGAGTCGGGCTGCCCTGCAAAGGCTCCCTGGCGCTCTATCAGTCCTGGGTCCACACGGCAGGAAGCAGGTATCCTGGCTGCACTGTGATGGGCATGGGAAGGGCTGGGTAGAGAGACCCCTCTCCCCTCAAGTGGCCGAGGAAAGGGCAGGCCCTGCTCCCCTTCCTGTCTGGGACCCTGCCTTCACCCAGCAGACTGTTCCTCTTGCAAACCTATTCCACATTCATTAACTGAGTCCCTACTGCATGCCAGGCGCTGTGGAAAATGCTGGGATAGACGACTGAACCAGCTACAGCCCGAGCCCACAGAGGGCCCGGTGGGTGTAGGGAAGCAGGGGAGGGGAGTGGTGGAGAGACATACATAAGCACAATTATAGCAGGACGTGATGTCTGACGTGGCACAGAGTTATCGAGAGTCTATAGGGGGGCATCCAGTGACCCACCAATCAGGGACAGTGCTCCACAGGAGCCACACTTAAGGAGAGCTTCGAAGGGCCATTCAGGGTCGGCTGGGGGTGAGTGGCAGGGCATGCTTTCAGCACAGGGGCGTCACGTGCTGAAAGCATGGTGGCCCGAGACTGCCCCTCGTGAGTAGTGGAGGTCGCGTGAGCTTCATGGGTGAGGCTGGCAGGGAGGCTGGGGCAAGCCTGGGTTGGATTCTGCAGATTCTGTTGGGGAATCTGGGCTTTCTCTAGAAGGACTTGGGCCTTTAGGACTTTAAAGCAGGGGGAAGATGCAATCGGATTTGTATGTGGGGACAAACAGTGGTGGTGGGTGGGTGTGTGGGGGTGGAGAAGCAGACCATGGGTGGGTGGTGAGCGGGCAGATGGTCTGGACTGAGCCAGGGGCTTTGGGAGGAGAGGCGCTGGTGCCCTAGAGAGATAATGACAGAAGGAAGAGCTGAGGACAACTCCCAGGTCCCCAGCTCTGGGCTGGGGGGTATGGATGGAACTTTGGGCATACCGGGGCCTGGAGACCCTGGCTGGCCTGCTGACTAGACCAGCCTCAGACACTTTGTCCTTCGCGCTGACGCTCAGCCTCCCCAGGCCTCTGTTAAACTCACTTTTGATTTGCGCCCCCTGGGCCTGGGTGGGAAACAGGCAGCTGGGGAAAACTGCACCATGGAGCAGGCGGGCTGCTTGGGAGCTGCGCGGATGTTCTGTTAAAACAAAAAGCGCCATGGGGTGAAGAGAAGCGTTAATGGAGCCAAGGAAGAGTGGAAAAGCAGGGGCCAGACAGGGAGGAGAGAACCAGGCAGGTGGGGGAGCAAGGGATGCGCAGGACAGGCAGAGGGAAGGTTGGGCTGCAGTGAGTGACATTAGGCTGGTCAGCGCTCTCTCCACCTCCATCCCTCTCTCCATGTCTCTTTACCTCCATCTCTCTCTCTACCTCTGTCTCTCCCTACCTACATCTCTCTCTCCACCTCTGTCTCTCCCCACCTCCATCTCTCTCTCCATCTCTCTCCCCACCTCCATCTCTCTCTCTCCCTTCATCTCTCCATCTTCACCTCCATCTCTCTTTCCATCCCTGTCTCTCTTCACCTCTCTTTCCACTTCCTGTCTCCACCTGCATCTCCATCTCTCTGTCTCTCTCTCCACCTCCATCTCTCTCTCCATCTCTACCTTTCTCTCCTCTCTCCTCCACCCCCGTGGAAGAGAGTTAAGGAGGGAAGGAATATGAAAGATGAAGACCAAAGAAGAGGCCCCTGTACTTGTGGAGGGCCTGCTGCATGCCTTTCCTGTCTCAAGGTGCATGTACAGACACCAGAGTGCTGACAACAGCTCCCAGTGAGGAGCCCGAGGCCCTTACAGAACGTGGGCCCACCGTACCCCAGTCTTCCCAGTTTTCACACAAAAACAGAAATCCAGATTTTCATGTGCTATTACCAGACCTTTTTTCTGCTACTGTGGCAGAATGCACATCCCATAGAACAGACCATCTTAACTACTTTTTAAGTGTGTGGGTCAGTGGTGTTAGGGTGACTTCTGCAGTTGTGCAACCATCCCCACCATCCAACTCCGGAACACTTTCATCTTGTAAAACTGCCCTTGACCTTTTAGATGTTGGTTACATGTTAAAAATTTCAAAATGCAGAGAAGATCAAATAGACCTGGGAGTGGCCCAGCAGGCTGTTCTGTGCCCTCGATGGGTGTGACCTCATTGAGCTGACCGAGCGACCCGTGGGGCAACAGACCCTGCTCACTCCACAACTGAGGAAACTGAGGCTGGGAGAGGTGAAGTCACTTGTCTAAGATCCCGCAACCAATGAGAATGGCAGAGCTGGGGATATGAGCTGGATTCAGTTTGATTCCCAAGCCCGGGTTCTTTCTACCACCACACGGCCTCCTAAGCAGAGTGGGGATAGAAAGTAACAGAGACGAGTGGCACCTGAGTCCAGAAGACTGAGCGGGTGTCCCAGATAGAGACAGCGATATAAGAAGGAGGGGAAGGGAGCCAGGGGCGTGTCCCCAGAGTCGCCTGCAAAGGAGACTGGCCGGCACTTTGGGTCCACACAGCAGGGCCCAGGCACAGTGAACTGGGCCCCACACCCAGCCCCTGGGGATGAGTGCTGGGTGGACAGTCTGACCTGGAAGCTGATGGAGGACAGCTTCACGATGCCCGTGATGCAGATGGTGTCGACTCGGTGGAAGGGCACGCGGTGGGCATACTGCATGAAGAGTTTCCCGTTCACGGTCACCTGCCGAGAGACGTGCATGTGGCAGGAGGGGGACCCCAGCCAGGTGGGAGCACACCTGAGCCTCTGGGACCCCTGCTTCTAGAAGTTGAGACCTGCATCTAGTTTTCACATTTATTCCCTGTAGATCTGGGCATCAGCCTTCAGAGATGTGCCAGTCACAGGAACATGCTTGAGACTCAGAGGGCATCCAAACACTATCTCTGTCTGGCTCTAGTCATTGCTTTTTCATTCTTCTGGCTGTTTTTATTGCAGTAGGTTTGTCTTTCTGATCATAGCTCACCTGGGGCATTATTGAAATATGCATATTGAAATGTACATACAAATATTGGTGGGGAGCAGAGGAGAGGGGACATCAGGTTACATGACAAGGGGGTGGTGACATTTGTGTTCACACAGAGAAGCACAGACACAGATGGACTCACCCCCACCCCAGCCTGCTTCCCGAGCCCAGAGACACTGCTCTGCTTGCAAAAGCAAGGTGCAGTGTCCTGCAAAACCAAGTCATTCATAACACCTGGATAAAGGCAGCAACAAGGTAACAGGAAAAGAAATGTTCCCAGGGACCTGGAGTGGAAGAAGGACTACAACAGAGAAATGGAAATAACTTGGACTGTAAAGACACCAGGAGGCCAAAAAGCACCATGGTGACTTCTCTAGTGCTTATTTCTGGAGTAAAAGAAGCAACAGGTACACTTGTAGATGCAGGTGAAGGTGTGTAAGGGGACTGCAGCCTTACAAGGAAATGATCCTCTTCTCTGTACAAAGGTGTTGCTCACGTGACTATTTTAAGACCATACATGGTGCCTGATTGAGCCAGGGGACAGGCAGCTGAAGGGACAAGAGAAGAGTTCCAACTCACCTTGAACTCCGAGCTCTGTACATGGAAGCAGAGCTCAAACGAACTCCCCCTCTGGAAGGGAATCTGCATCTTCCTTTCCTCCGGCCCCCAGCTTCCTCTCTGCTTCGTGTTGCAGACCACATACCCACCCTCTTCAAACCGTGGATTGAAGTGGAAGGCAATGTCGTTGTCACTATAGCCGGTCTGAAAGTTCACAGCAAACCTAGACGGAGGGAAATCGGGCAGCCCGTGGGGTCCTGGTTTACCTCCAAGGGTGGGGACAGGAAGTGCTCAAGCTTTCCACTGACATCCGTCTGGGAATCTGGGTACAGCCTGCATGGCTGGTTGGTACCCACCCCTAGTCTGCTGTTGTCTGTTTTGTTCACCTAATTTGCACTAATGTCTTTTTGTTCAGTTACCACATTTTGCCCTTACAGTGTGAATTTCTATGGGTAAAGAAATTTGTATCCAAGTTGGAACTCGAAAAATGTGCCTGGAAGTGAGAGCCTTTTGGACCAAGTGGTCGCCGAGGCCTGCCCACGTCCATTACGCTGGGACAGAGAGGACAAATGGAAAGAACAGGTGACACTGATGGGACACCTACAGGGATGGTGTCTAAAGGGGAGACACAGAATAAACGCTAGCTCTCCGGGCGTGGGGACCTCAGTGTGTGTCTGTCCCTCAGTGGAGGCTGTCGTGTGTCCACCTGCCCCCAGTGAGGTCAGCAGGCCTGGGCCCTGACCCCTGACAATGCCCTGTTTGTCACTTGCGATGACCGAGACCACAATACTCAAGCTGCCCCACCCAGGGGTGACTGCCTCCCTTCGGGGATGATGACCAAGGCGGCCCGGGGATGCCAAGTGAGTGATGCTTTGTTCCCATCTCTCCTCACCTTCTCAACTTCCTCTGGGTACAGCCATGACTCTAAGGTGAGGGCTAAAATAAAAAAGGAGTTTCCACGGGGCCTGGCTCATGAAGGGAGTGCACTTGATGCTTGTTCTGACTTTTCCCAGATGGAATTCTTGCATGTCCCCAAACCAAGTTCCAGTCTGAGGTTCTTCCAGCAAGAAGTCTGTCCCACCACCTTGCCCGAACTCAGAACCAGTGCAGTTCACAGCCTGCTTCTCAGAGTCACTCTGGTCTCCCCAACAAACACACAGCAGTCAGAGAGCGCGCCTCGCTCCCGCGTCATCCCCACAGAGCCCGGCGCTGCGGTACACCCATGGGCGGCCCTCAGCGGACATTCTATCTGCAGGGCCCATTTTTGGTTTCTTCATTGTTTGTTTGGGCTGTGCAGCGTGGCCTGCAGGATCTTAGTTCCTCAGCTAAGGATGGAACCCTTGCCCCCTGCAGTGGAAGCGTGGAGTGGTGCCCACCTGCCTTCCAGGGAAACCCTGAGAACCCATTTGCTTTATCAGTTACGGGGGTGAGTTTGGGATGTAGTCCTCAATACTAAGGTGCTTGGTGAGCTCTCAGCCAGCAAGACAGCAGAACTGGCTGGGACCTGAGCCCTCGGTGCTCCCTCCGGGAACACCAAAAGGAAACGATGTTCCAAGTGATTCAAGAATTAGAAAATCGAAGTCCCTGTTCCTCTTAAAGTGAAGAATAGTGTTTCTGAAATATCTGGGTGTAATTTTCCCTTTGCCACCCTCCAGCTTCTTGGCTGTGTTCCTTTGAAAATTCCACCCCAGGGAAGGAGAGAACAGTAGCTCCCGTCGGAAGGGGGACCCTCAGAGGTAGAGACAGGCTCTATTAGACAGAGTGGGAGTAGAAGGCCCTGCTGTGATGGGAGGAAGGGTCGGCACAGGGAGGGGGAGAGAGGGGTGGGAGTTCAGAGTCAAGGTTCCCGATTCCCCTGCTGGGACAGTTTCTGGGAAACCGAGTGTCTCACTTCCCACTGAGGCCCCTGGGGGCACTGCAGACTCTCAGAGTCCCATGGTCAGTATGACTGTGTCACCGGGCAGGGGAGGAAGTCATCTGGAGGCTCCTGAGAGAGGTCACGTGTCCAGAGGGGCCTCGGTGTACACTGTGGATCTCAGGGTGCAGCCCACCTGGACCCCACCCACACGGGCACAGGTTGTAGGCCTCTGGGTCACCTGGCCCTCGGCAGGGGTCAGTCAGGGCTGCTTGAGCAACTGATGACACGTCTGCCTCTGAGAATTTGTGCAAGCTCTTGTCTGTTCCCAGACAGCCCACCTCGGGAAGGAGGGGGATGGGAAACAGTGCTGAGATATTTATATTTTGAATTGGCTTTAGCAGCAACGACCTTGAAACTGAGAGACCAAACTGCAACCTTGAAGGCAAGTTTAAATATTTCCACATCAGCCCACATGAGGGTTCTGAAGTAGATGCAAGTGACTGTAGGAAATGGAGGAAGTTGACGGATCTGCAGCTCTGGGTCATTGTGTATGAGGTTCAGTCCCAGAACTCCGCCTCTGGGCTGGCCTGCTTCCCTCCCTAACCGTGAGCCTCCATCCCCCGCTGTCTCTGGGGAGTCTGCTTAATGGTGCCCTGGATGCTACGTGCAGGTGCCCGGGGTCTCATGCATTGTTGGCAGGGCCAAGCCCTTCCCACCCCCTAGCCAGGTGAGGATGCTTGGAGGATGCTGGGTGGACCCCCCTGAGCTGACAGAGCTGTCGTTCACTGAGGGGTGAGGCTGAGAGAGATGCTTGCCGGTACCTGTTCCCGCCTGAGGGAAGAACGGCCCCAATGACGGTGATCTTGTGTCCATCCTGGAGACCCCCTTGGATCATCCCAGTGAAGGGGACCACCTGCAGGGAAGAGATGATGGTCAGTGTCTCCTGCTTCCTTCTCTCCACACTAGAGAAAGCCCACACACAACCCAGTGCAGACATAAAAAGGTTTTAATAAAACAAATAAATAAAGGATCCATGGTTCTGGTGAAGAGGCTTCATTTTAGAGCCAGGCATCCTCCAGGTTTGAATCCTGATCTGCTGTTCATTAACCTGAGTGGTCTTGGGAAGCTTACTTAACTTCTCTTTGCCTCAGTTTCCTCATTTGTGATATAGGGATAAACCCCACTTTTAGGGTGAGATTCATGATTGAGTGAGAAAGTCTGTGGAAGATTCCATCATGTAATGTAGCAGGTTGTCTCTCTACTGCTTGCCCCACCCCCACCCCCCACCGCTTCCACCTTGGTCTCTGAGAAAAATTCCTAAATTGGATACAACTCAACTTTCGAGGCTTCCTTCCAAATGCCTAATTGGATTCTACAAATTGCCTTACACACAGTACAGTCTCCTAGTCAATTTTCACGTTTTTCAAGCTGTTGAAGTCTTGTCTACCTTCTCCTTTAAGTCAGTTCCCTACAAAAATTAAATGCTTATTTAAAATGGATAACCAACAAAGACCTACTGTATAGCACAGGTAACTCTGCTCAATGATATGGAGCAACCTAAATGGGAAAAGAATTTGGAAAAGAATAGATGCATATATATGTATAACGAATCACTTTGCTGTACATCTGAAACTAACATAATATTGTTAATCAACTATACTCCAATAGAAAATAAAAATATAGAAACTATTTTTTTAGAAAAGAAGGAAAACACACACACACACACATGCATTGCTGACAGAAATGAGGCAGGTGATTTACATATTTGAGCTGGCCAGGTATGGGACAGTCGGGAGTGGTGGGGACTGAAGCAAAGTAGGCATCATCTTCCTTATCTAAAGAGCAGTGTCCACTCAACTGTAACCCGTGATTACCTTCCAGGCCAGTGTGGACAGAACTTCCAACTTATTAGGAGACAGAAATCTGGATTTTTATTTCTCTGTAAAGCTTTCTACTTTCTGGGGCAAAAATCCTTTAAAAAAGGATTGTAGAGTTTCTTTATGATAGGAACACATAATGAATGTTTGCAATGAAATGATATATCTAGATTAGCTTCAGAACAATCCAGGAGTGGAAAAGGAAGGAGGCTTGGGTAGAGGGGAAGCAGAGAGGTCAAGAGTTGAAACTGAGGGATGGGTGTGTGTTGTTTATGATGCTATTCTCTCTGCATTATACATTTTCCTGGGCAACATGTTAAAAGAAACACTGTGCTGGCCAAACAAAAAACACTCAACAGCCCAGTTCAGTCCTACCCTGTGTCCTTGAGTCGTACAACCACTCGGAATCCAGGGAAGCCCCTCCGAGCCTGGTGTGCACAGCTGGCCCTGGGAGATAACAAGTGATGCCAGGATCCCGTTCAGACAGACTGTGCTCTCCATGGACCTTGGGCAGAGGTGTCTTTTGTGGCACCCCAGGTCAGGTCTGGACTCTGCCATTAAATACTTTGGTGACGTTAAGCAAATCACAACCTCTCTGCATCTCTGAGTTCTGTTTTCTGTCCATGTCCGTGATTTTGGAGTAGGATCAGCCTGACCCAGTTAGGCTGACCACCATGGTGGACTTTCCTGAAGAAGAATCCCCTTATTTGTTTGTTGAAGCCTCTTAAGAACCTTTCATACCATCATGAAAGACAAGGCTTAAAATATATCCTTCTGGCAGCATGGGCGCCTCCCTCAAGCATATTCACACGGAGGTATAAAGAACTGAACGCACAGTGTGATGGGATGAGGTCTTTAGGGCACAGAGGAAGGCAGGATGGAGGAAGCCCTGTGTGGGTCATGGGGGCGGGCAGTACAGTTAATCTTAGGAAGTGCGTGTGTGTGTGTGTGTGTGTGTGTGTTAGTTGCTCAGTCATGCCCAACTTTTTGCGATCCCATAGACTATAGTGCCAGGCTCCTCTGTCCATAGGATTTTCCAGTCAAGAATATTGGAGTGGGTTGCCATTCCCTTCTTCAGGGGATCTTTCTGACCCAGGAATTGAACCTGAGTCTCCTTCATGGCAGGCAGATTCTTTAACTTCTGAGCCACCAAGGAAGCCATGGCTCAGACAGTAAAGAATCTTAGGAAATGATTCCCCCAAAAAGCTTTGTGAGATTTTAATGTCTTAAATGGCATCCTCAAATTCTGAAACACAAGATTATTTCAAATTGAGTATAGTCCTAAAGACAAGATTATTCATAGCTGCATTATAATTGTAAAGAATCAAAAGCAAGTCCAAAAAGTCCACTAGGAAGAAAATAGTTAAATTAATTTGGTGTTCCATACAATGGACTGTATGGAGACTTAATAAAAAAAGAAGAGGAAGAAGGGAACTCTTTGAGAATTGATACAGAATGATGCCACATGGATTATTCAAAAATGGATGCTGCTGCAAATTTGCTTCAGTTGTGTCTGATTCTGTGCAACCCCATAGACAGCAACCCACCAGGCTCCCCTGTCCCTGGGATTCTCCAGGTAAGAGCACTGGAGTGGGTTGCCATTTCCTTCTCCAATGCATGAAGGTGAAAAGTGAAAGTGAAGTCTCTCAGTCATGTCTGAAGCTTAGCGACCCCATGGACTGCAGCCCACCAGGTTCCACTATCCATGGGTTTTACCAGGCAAGAGCACTGGAATGGGTTGCCATTGTCTTCTCCAAAAATGGGTGGGGGAGGCTATATGCATATATTTACTAATTATAAATAAAGCATTATGTAAAAACATTTCTGCAATGATTCATACAAACCATTAATATTGGTTGACTCCAAGGAGGGTAGGGTGGACTGAATAATTATCACCCTCCCCTCTGCCCTACCAACAATGTCTACATGCTAATTCCTGGAAGTTGTGAATATACTACTTTATACGGCAAAGGGGGTTTTGCAGATGTGATTAGGTTAAGGATCTTGAGATAGGTTATTGTAGATTATCTGCATGGGCCCAGGTCCTAAAAGAGGGAAGCAGAAGAGGAGGGTCAGTAGTAGCTGTGGCAACAGAAGCGAGAAGCTGCTGGCTTTAAAGAAGGAGGAAGGGGCCACAAGCCAAGGGAAGCAGGCAGTCTCTGGCAACTGAGAAAGGCAAGGAAACATTCTCCCCTGAAGCCTCCAGAAGGGAACAGCCTTGCTGACACTTTGATTTTAGATTTTGACCTCAGAACTGTAACAGAATAAATTTGTATTGCTTTAAGCCTGGCTGGCCAAGGACCCCTCCGTGCATGTGTGTGTTGTGTGTCTGTTATCTTAGCAAGAAACAGAAGCACCTAGAGGACGTGGAGGAAGGATTTTTATGTTGGATTTGTGGCCCCACAGCATCGACTCGCCTCCCAACTCCCCAAGCTGGCAGCTCTGATGTTGACCAAGTCACATGACCTGTCTGCACCCCAGTTCCCACCTCAGAACGGTGAGACACTAGCGAGGCCAGCCTGGCAGTGTCCTTAAGAGGATTAGGTGAAAGGCTAAGTGGAAAGTCCTTGGCTGGAAAGACTTGACAAGGGTAGCTGTCTGCATCAGGATGGCTTAATCCTTCTGCTGGGTCCAAACTAGGTCTCAGCTCTTGGCCATGCCTGAAGGCTGAGGATCTTTCCCTCCTCTTCATATCCTTCCAGAAAGAGGAACCAGGCCCTACAGGCCAGGGGTGGGAATTCCCTTTCTGGAGACCCTGTGTCACAGAGACCACCCAGCCACACCTGAGCAGGGGGCTCACCCGCAGAGGGCAGCGTGCTACCCGTCTGGTGGCCTCCTTTCCTTGTTTTTGTTATCTCATCATCCCATTTCCTCGAAGCCATGCAGGTCATTATTGGTGCCGTGCTTACAGATGAGGAAACAGAACAAGAAGGTTGCCTAACTTTCCCGAAGTCACACAGCTGGGCAATGAAAGAGACAGGTTTGAATCCCAGCACCCACGCTCTTAGCCCTCACCCGGGCCACTTCTCACGGTGAAGCCCTGACCCTCCTGGACCCAACAGTGAGTCCTGTCCTGACTCATGGCTGCTGCCCTCCTGGCCCTCTGGGGACTGAGCCAGATGAGACCAGAGGGGGGCATGGGCGAGCAATAGGGGTGCTCCTGAGGCATATCCTAGAGGCATTGACTCAGCTGACTGGCTGGGCGGGTGACCCTCATGTTGCACTCGGGAGGAAGTGAGGTCCCGCATACTAGAGGTCACTGGGTGACCCGGGGGCGGGCGGCCACGTGGGTGGACAGTGCTGCTGGTCCCTGGGGGGCTGCACCAGCCTCTTTCTCGTCCAGACTCCGAGGCTCTGTTTTGCCTCTCTGCTGTCGATAGAAGGAATTTCCTTCTAATTTCAAATCTTTGGCTTTTGAATCCAAGGATTAGAAAGGAAAAATGTGTCTTCAGAATAATAAAACGTCAGGGCCTGGAAAGGGCTCTGGGTCCCCCATCTGAGGAAGAAGGAAACCTAGGTGTCACGTCCTGACCCCAAGGTCACCATGGAGGCACCCTCTGGGGGGGGCCCAGCTTCCTCCAACCCCAACAGGAGCCCCCCAAAGTGAGCTAAGGGCCACTGGACACTGCCTGGAGCAAGCAGGCCCAGCGGGGCCCCCGGGGAGGTGGGCTTGAGTGTGGAGTGCAGCAGTCCCCAGTACCTGCTGTCCCCCCACACCTCCCCAGGAAGGACTCCATCAGCCCACCTGCCCAGCCTCTCAGGCAGCTGAAGTTGTGAGAGGCTACCAGGGAGCATGGAAACCTCCTGAGACCTGGGCTGCCGCCTGCCTGCTTCCTCCTCACCCAGGTCTCTCTCTGTGGGCCCTTGCTTCCTTGGTCACTTACCATCTGGGGACATTTGACAAGTGACCTCCACCTGTCTGAACCTGTTTTCCGTTTATGACCTGGGGATGATAAGGCTCGCAGGGTTTAAACCAGGCCACCTGCAATGGGGCCTCCACACAGGAGGCAAAGGGCACAAGACACAACCCATGCACCCCACAGGGCCCCCTCTCCCCCATAACTCCCCAGAGGGTCCTTCTCAGATATCCTTGACTTGCCCTGCCTTACTCTCTCACCCCTCAGGGAGCAGACATCTCCTCAGGAGGACTTCCATGCCACCCCCAGACTCCTATTAATTCTAAACACTTCCACAGTGAAACAGACACCTTCCAAGCTCTTTCAGTGGGCTACCTCGCTTAATTCTTCCCCCAGCCCTGGGCGGTGACCTGAGGATTATTACCATTGTATGGATGCAAAATTGAGGCCCAGAGAGGTAAAGCAACTTGCTGGAGGTTGCAAGTCAGTGTCTGCTCAGTGGTTTAGTTGTGTCCAACTGTTTGCAACCCCATGGAATGTAGCCTGCCAGGCTCTTCTGTCCATGGCAATTTCCAGGCAAGAATGCTGGAATGCGTTGCCATTTCCTCCTCCGTCCTCTCACCCAGGGACGGAAACCACATCTCCTGCATTGGCAGATGGATTATTTACCGCTGAGCCACCTAGGATGCTTGTGGTCACCCAGCTAGTACGTGGCTGAACCCAGGGAGGCCATCTTCAAGGTAAGTGCACTTCGCTTCCGAGTTGGGTTGTTGGCCTCCACAGAAGCCCTGTGTACCTCTCCCTTCGTGCAAAAAAAATTATTAATAATCTGTTTTCTAGTTATGATGTAGGCCCTTCATCCCCCGCTGAGCATCTAGAGCAGGATGGCACCCAGAGAAAGCTCAGTAAACCTTTGCTTACTGAATCCTGGTGATGCTCATCCACTCCAGCCCTGGGTGGTGCTAGGGGGATGAGACGAGCTCGGAGCAGAAATTCTGTCAGGATCACGCCGACAGGTGTGTCTGCCTTTCTTGTGTTCTCATTTGGATGCCCCTCCCCCCATTTCCCTGCAAGAGCTCCTGTCACCTGCAGGAGCTGTGACACCTGTCCCTCCCCTCCCCCAGCTGAGGCCACCCCCAGCCCTGGAAACTCACTGGGTTTATGTAGGAAGCCTGGGCACCACCAAAGGCCATGTCTCCACCACCTCTGTAGCTGCTGGCCACTTCGCCGGCTGGCTTAATGAAGAAATAGAAACCTAAGCAATCTGGCAGCTATTCAATGGGGAGGAGCCCAGGGCAAGAGGAAATGGGTGGAGACAAAGAGCAGAGGATAGAAGCGGATGTTCCTCACTCAGTGTTCTCTCTCCTCCCTCTTTCCTGTGCTCCACTCCAAGTCAGAATAGGTTCCAGAAGTTCATGTGGGTTCAGAGAGCCTCATTGCATGCACACCACAGCGAGCTTCTAGGAGACGCTGCCCCTGGTGTTGTGGTTGTGTAATGAATGTCCAGACAACAGTGGGGCTGCTTGGCACAGCCCATGCAGACTGGGGCTGCCTGTGCATGGGGTGGCAGTGGTACTGGGAAGGCCTGACTGTAACCATTTTTCCAGGTATGGTAACAGAGGCTCAGAGAGTCTAAGGGTCATACCTAAGGTCACACAGCTCGTTAGTGGCAGTCTGAGCCATCTGAGGCTACTCGGTGGTGGTGGTGTTCAGTCGCTCAGTCATGTCAGACTCTTTGTGACCCCATGGACTGCAGCACCCCAGGCTTCCCTGTCCGTCACCATCTCCCGGAGCTTGCTCAAGCTCATGTTCATTGAGTCTGTGATGCCATTCAACCATCTCATCCTCTGTTGCCCCTTCTCCTCCTGCCCTCAATCTTTCCCAGCATCAGGGTCTTTTCCAATGAGTTGGCCCTTTGCATCAGTTAGCCAAAGTATTGTAGCTTCATCTTCAGCATCAATCCTTCCAATATATTCAGGGTTGGTTTCCTTTGGGATTGACTGGTTTGATTTCCTTGCAGTCCAAGCTACTTCCAAGAGTTTTCTCTGGCACCACAGTTCAAAAGCACCAGTAGGGTCTGGAAAAAGGTATCCTCTCCTTTAAAATTCTGTTCCTAATGTAAAAACATTATCATGTTGGGACTTCCCTGGTGGTCCAATGGCTAGGACTCTGCACTTCCACTGCAGGGCACATGGGTTCGATCCCTGGTCAGGGAACTAAGGGTCTGTAGCTGCTTGGCATGGAAAAAAAAAAGAGAAGAAAAACATAATCACGTAGAAAGAAATGTCTTGCAAATATAAAACCTCATATTGAAGTTTACCTTGAAGTGAAGTGAAGTGAAAGTTGCTCAGTCATGTCCAACTCTTTGCAACTCCATGGAACGTAGCCTGCCAGGCTCCTCTGTCTATGTACCTGTTCAGGCCAGAATACTGGAGTGGGTAGCCTTTCCCTTCTCCCGGGGATCTTCCCAACCCAGGGATCAATCCCAGGTCTTCCTGAATGCAGGCAGATTCATTACTGTCTGAGCTATCAGGAAAGCCCAAGAATACTGGAATGGGTAACCTATCCCTTCTCCAGGGGATCCTCCCAACTCAGGACTTGAACCGGAGTCTCCTGCATTGCAGGCGGATTCTTTACCAGCTGAGCTACCAGGAAAGCCCAAGTTTACCTTAGCATTGTGTATAATGATGCCCCAGGAGCTTCTGACCCTTTTCTCTACCAATTTCTCTCTCTCTTCCCTCTCCCTTGATTTTGGGCTTTAGAATGGGGAGCGGGTAAGTCTCAGATATTCCAACTGACATGGATACTGGGGCAGTATATTGAATAAGCTGTCTTTAATTGGCTCCACCACCTTGTGAAAGGAAATGATTGACTGAAACAGAGACTCAGGATCAACTGGATTGCGGGTGGAGATGCAGAGGAAAGACATAGCAACAATAGTCTTTCTTGAGGTCAAGAGGGTCCCCCACACCATGTGACAGAGACAGGGCCCAAGGGTCCAGGCTGGACAAGCAGTTGAGGGTCCTACAGGAACCAAGTGGGGAGCAGGTGCTCCAGGGTTGTTCCCTTCTTGAGCTTCAGAATTTGCAAAGACTGACTTCTTTGAGATGTTCCCATAGACTGAGGCCGTATACCTTCTCTCTCCCCTCCCCATCCTTACTAGATTCCTGGATTAACTGAAACTTGACCGAATTTAAGGGGCAGGGGCAGGGGCATGTGGCACAGTTGGAACAGAAAGGAGAAAAAGAAGGGAAAATTCTTTGCAATTCTCTTCAACACCAGGGACAAGGGGACTGTCTTCTCATTGGCTGGGATATGGAGCAACTGGAACTCTCATTCACTGCAGGTTGGAGTAAAATACAGCAGCATTGGAAACTTGTTGGTGGATCATAATAAAGTCAAACTTCTACCGCTCCCGTGTCCTGGCTGTTCTGCTCCTAGATATTTACTTGAGAGAGATGAGAGCATACACATGTGTGCATAACGGCTTCACTCATCATAGCCCGTACTGGAAACAATACAACTGTTCCCCAGCAGGAGAAAGGAAAATTGAATGGTGATATGCCTACAATGGACTGAAAGCGGAAGTGTTGGCCACTCCATTGTGGCCGACTCTTTGCGACCCCATGGTCTGTATCCTGCCAGGCCCCTCTGTCCATGGAATTCTCCAGGCAAGAATACCGATGTGGGTTGCCATTCCCTTCTCCAGGGGATCTTCCCAACCCAGGGATCGAACCCAGGTCTCCTGCATTGCAGACAGATTCTTAATGGTCTGAGGCACAGGGAGGCCCTGCATTGGGCTGCCCTCAGCAATGAAAAGGGCCTGAAGATACAAGCAAGCTCATCGGTGAAACTCACAGTTGAGCACAGGCCGGGAGCATTCTGATTACATAAAACCCAACTTCTGGTCGGAATAGTGATGAGCACCAGCTGAGAAGGACCCCAAAGAGTCATCTGGGTGCTAGAAATGTCCTAGAGCTTGACCTCAATGGTGGCCACACAGCTGTTTGCAACATAAAAACTCATCCAGCAGACTAGGGTCTGTGGATTTACCTGAATCGTATCTCAATAAAGTTCTGTTTTTATTTTTATATATATTAAGAAAAAAAAAAAAAACCTCCCAGGGCCCAGGCAGACACGGGGACAGCTAGAGTTCCAGGAATTACTCACTTTGGCATTGCTAGGTGGCTTGGAGGTGAGTCCCAGGGAGTCCATCCCCAGATAAGAGCCCAGGGTCCTCTGCTCCTGCCCTGCAGGGAGCGGCAACAGCCAACACGAAGGCCAATGGGTTTCCAGGTGATGGAGACAGTGGGGAGGCGTCTCCGAGACCCAGTGCCTGGCACAGTTGACCTCAGCAGCCTGGCATCACCGTGCAGTCATGAGACTTGCTCCCAGGGCCTGGCTTTGGTCTTAAGAAGGTGAGAGGCAGCCCTCAGAGCTCCGTTATTCAAAGTCCAGACACTTGTCGGAGGCTCTCTGTTCTCTGCATCGTAGAGGGCAGATCTGTTCTAAATGTGTCGGCCACCTCACACTCTTGAAAAACCAGAAACTGACAAGTATTGATGAGGATGTGGAGGAAGGAGGCCTTTTGTGCTATGGGTGGGAATATTTAATGGGGAGGTGGTGATGGGAAATGTAGTATATGTGCTTGACCCTAAGGGTCCAGCATTAAGCCTCTGATTGTCAAAGCACCCATTTCAAAGACACCCATCTTGTGTAAATGCATCACCAGCTGTATGACAACTTCTAAGTAAGCACCCAATTTGGCCTCACCCATGACATTCTCCTTCCTGGGAAGCTTTGGGGTACCTAGATAACCATGTGTGGGGCCCCACATGTCTCTTCCTGCTCCTTGGTCCCTGCTTAACCACCCTACCCTTGGACCCTCGTAAGGGCCCCCACTCCCACCTCCCATTTGGATGATCTCCTTATGTAGCCCTCAGGACTTGAGAGTAATAATCCTTGTTTTTTTCAAAGCTCCCAGATGGTTGTTGCTGAGTTGCATCCTGTAATAGTAGTGAGAACCACAAGGGCCAGTCCAGCCACAGCACTGGCTCCAGCTGGGCTAATGACCTGGGGGCTCCCACAGGTTCTAAAGGCCCACGTGGGTGCCCCCAGACATTCCTATGCTGACAGCATCACCATGCATAGGTTGAGATGGATGTCTCATACTGTCCAAAACAGTATGAAGGTTCCTCTAAAAACTCAACATAGAATTACCATATGATCCAGCAATTCCACTTCTGGGTATAAACCCTAAAGAACTGAAGGCAGGGACTTCAGGAGATGTTGGTATACCCATGTTCATGGTATTATCTACAACAGCCAAGAGACAGAACCAGCCCAAGTGCCTATTATGGATGACTAGATAAGCAAAATGTGGTCTATACATACAATGCAATGTCATTCAGCCTTGAAAAGGAGGGGAATTCTGACCCAGGTTTCAGCATGTATGAACTTTGATGATGTTGAGGAAGGAAGAAATTATCCTCTACCCCTCTAGGTTCATCTGGCCAGTCTAAGAATTAAATTGACAGGAGACAGATTAACAGGAGAAAATCTAACAAAAGTTTAACACATATACATGGGAGAGACCCAGGAGAACTAACTCACCAAAATGGTCAAAGCCCTCACCTTAAATACCATCTTGAGCTAAGACAGAAGAGGATGTTGAGGGTAATGGCTGGGATTTCAATGAGGAAGAAGCCAGATAAGAAAATGCTTGGTAAATAGGTGCTTGCTGGGTGCAGACTGGACTCTGATCTCTACAGGGTGCTGGGTGTCACCCAACAAACTTCGCCCATGTTCTGTAAATATAGGTCACGGCTCTATTATTGGAACAGGTCCTTTATCTCCATTCTTTGCAGCAGTTGAGGGGGAGTAGCAAGAGGAACTTCAGGTCTTCAGTTTCTTAAGAAGATTCAGCCTCAATGAATCCTCATGCCCAAGTGACACATTTTGGGATGGCACATCTTGCTCCCCTACACTCTTTTAGTCTTTCATCATTTGCGAGATGTAGCATATTGCAGGCCTTATTTGATATGATTGTCATGAACTGATTGAGCTAAGGCTGGAAAGCACTTAGTTTGGCTATGACTCACCAAACTGAATCCCAGTTATCTTCCATCAGGAGATTTGACACCACTAGGAGCAAAGACTCCCCTTTAATCTCCTTGGAAAGGACTGTACCAGG